TTTTTTTTTTTGTTTTTTTTTTTTTTTTTTTTTTTTTTTTTTTTTTCATTTTTTTATGCAATCTTAGCCTGAGGCTCACTAGCTCACTAGCCTTTGCAGGCATTTTCTGCTCACTTTGGTTTTATGAATGTACAGACGTCAAACTTGTATAGTTTTGTTTATTTAATTCATACCATCCATTTAGGGTATTTAAATGTCAAATTAATATTAATCAGTTACTTATGTTTGTGGGGAGCTTGAAATAGCTATCTTTGCTTCCTTTTTGCTGAAGAGGCATCTTACAGGAACAAAGCCAATGCTAAAGTTGGCATGCATGTGAGCTGCTTCACCAGTCCCCTCTGTGTGCCCAAATTAACAGTAAAGCTTTGGATTAAATCTCTTTGAGCTCTTTTCAGTAAAAAACCTGCAGTATCTTGCTGAAAAACGCTGTTTGTTAAGGCCAAATGAGACACTAGTGATAAACTATAGCACAATCAGTATTGATTCAACATCATAAAGATGACAACTTTGTTCTCTAGTAGAATAGCATAGCCCAAAGTTCTGTCAGACTAAACCAAATCAAGTGAAGAACAGTGAACTTCTGTTAAATAAAGTTCTGCAATTATAATAGCATTCTTCCAAACAAGCAAATCTTGTTTTGATGTCTTCTTTTTTCCTTAAGCAAAGGAAAGCAAACAGCTATGTGGTGTTGAGAATTAAGATGAAAACAGTAGCTAAAATGTTAGAATTTTGAAACACTTCTAGAGATAAAAGGAGAAAACAAACTAAACAGCCTCCTCCACTTTTAGCCAGTGAAATAGCCGCTGAAGGACTTCCTCGGCCTTGGTGGTTTCTTAGTGTATTTTTTTGTTTGTTTCCTCCCCTCCCATCCCAGGAGTCCTAGTCAACCCTGCCAAGCAATTGTCCCAACACTGAGTGCAGTATTTGTGGATGAGAATTTGCCAGATGGGACTCACTTGCAACCAGGAACAAAGTTTATCAAACACTGGCGAATGAAGAATACTGGCAATGTGGAGTGGACCTCAGACACAAAGGTATCTTTCCCTTGCTATTATTTTACACACTAAAATAGTTCTGGAAGATAATATTTATATTTGTATTTATATTAGGAATCTGAATTCTCTATCAGAACCTGTTTAGGATTCCATTTGGCATGTTAATGCACAAGCTGGGCATTCTGGGGCAATAAGCTGTGTGGGAAAGCAATCAATATTGACATCACTGAACATTGTCTTCAAGTGCTGTTATAATGTTAGAGTTCCCCTTGTTTACAAGGGACGTGCTCCTTTTCTGACTTCAAAAAGCCTTTCCTATGTGAGTGACTGATTTCATGTTGAAAGATAGAAGTTGTGGTGATAGTGCCTAGTGTGAGCCTGTTCACTAGCAGCCGCTCTTTGCCAGGCCTAACATCTGCAGGGACTTTCAGCTTTGAGTGCTCCTTGCTGCCCACAGTTTGCAAAGAAGCTTGTGAAGTTAACTTTTGCTTTTTCTGTTGTACATTTCAGCTGAAACTTATGTGGGGAAATCTGACCTTGGCATCTTCGGAAAAAAAAGATGTGTTAGTGCCATCCCTTCCATCGGGACAAGTAGGAACTGTGTCAGTTGAGTTTGTAGCTCCTAACATAGAAGGAACTTACACCTCTCACTGGCGACTGTCGCACAGAGGGGAACAGTTTGGGCCCAGGATCTGGTGCAGCATTGTTGTGGATCCCTCACCAGCTACTGACGATCTAGAAAGCAACTGGAAGGATTCTGACTGCTGTCAGAAGGATAACACTTCCAGCACCAAACAGGCAAGTAACTCCTATGGTATTTGGGGTTTGAGTTGCCCAGTAGAAGGAGCAAAGAGTATTGTTTGGTGCAATGGCGTAGTGTCCCTAACTATATTGATTGCCAGGAGATTCTTTTAGTTGTTGGCTTCTAATTTTTATTTTTAATAGAAAAGAAGCACAACTTTTATTGCATTTGTGAGTTCTAAGATGGTCATTCGTTTCAATAGGCATGGGATTAGATATCAGTCTGTTGCAGCTATTTGTTTAGTTCTTTGATTGAACTGAAACACTGCAGGGTTTCTCTATGTTAGATCTTCTATTTTTGGATCGAAAATGAGTTAAATCTCTTTTCAAGTTACTTGTGTTCTTGTACACAATATTCAGGCTTTGCATTTCATGTAACATTTGCATTTGCTGCCTGCCTAAGGGGCTTCTGGGGCATTATGTTTTTACTTTGGCAGGATGCTTCCTTAAAGACAGAAGCAGGTGCTCAACTGATGGGTGAAATCGTGGAGCAGGCTGAAATACCTCTGCCAACTATTCCTTTAAAGATCAAAAATCTGCCAAGTGAGAGAGAATTTTATATCCCATCTGTTGATCTTCTCACTGCACAGGTAAAGTGCTAAAATTCAAGTAGAATCGTAGAATCGAATAGAGAGAAAACAAAACCACCTTGAGTCTGATATCTAGATATGTAGACATCTGTAAGAATAAAAAGCCACTCTATTTGAAGGAAGAGTATATTGCATTTTATATAGCAGAACTATTTTTTTTTAAATTACTATTAGGGGCTGTTGCTGTACAGAAGGTATGCAGGACAGATTCTCAATAAGGAGTCACAGGGTTGAGTTTTTGGCCCCTAGCAAGGGAATACTGACCTCTGCCTCTTGCTAACCTCTTTTTGTCCCCCATATTCCACAACATGGATATCCATTATGGGAAAAGTGACCTCTGTCTGAGATCATGCTGAGTAACTACCAAAGTGGAGTAGATTATTTGCAAGTTAATGGGATCTGATGCTGGGAAGTACAGCTTAAGATTCCATTTCAGGGTTTGCTGAGGGAAAACTGCTGTTTCTTTGTGTAGGATTTGCTGTCCTTTGAGCTGCTGGATATTAATATTGTGCAGGAATTGGAGCGAGTGCCACACAATACTCCTGTTGGTAAGGTTCTTCTGATACTCTGTGTGCTGTCTCTAGCATTCTGAGTTAACTGTTTACCCCATGAAAAGCTGAACTTAATTGTGCAAAAGATTTATTTGATCTTCAGGCTAGAGTGTCTTCCCAGCTCTCCTATTTTTTCATTTAAATTCTTGCTGTAGTCTTAGAGGGTATATTTGGTAGTGCTTTGTATCCTTTGTATTTTTCAGTCTTGGCTTCTTTTCAGTTTCACATCCCCAAGACCATGAAATCCCAGACACCAAAGAAGGCTGCCATTTTCTTGGGTCAGCCAGTGCCAGTGTAATGCAAAGCTAGTTGTTCATTTCTCTAAATTATCTTGTAAGATAACTGGGTTTCTTCAGTCTTGGAAGAATATCCATTTAAAAAGGATAATTTCTAGAAAGGTTGCTTCCTGGAGGAAAAAAAGTTCCTACTCCTTTGGTGCCAATTTTCTTTGCTGGCTTTGTTTTTCAGACATGACTCCATGCATGTCCCCTCTGCCACACGACAGCCCCTTGCTGGAGAAACCTGGCTTAGGGCAGATAGAGGAGGAGAACGAGGGGAGTACATTTAAACCCGTGTCTGGTAAGCAGTAGTTGTGGGGAGCCTGGGGGTGAGGGGGAGGAGGATGTTATCACTTTTATGTGGTCAGCAGTCTTGATGTCTAAAAAGAATTTTAACTCCTGTCTTTCCCTTCGGTGGAAAAACAAGCAGTTGTTTGGCTTGTAAACCTGTAGTGTGATTCTACTCTCTGATTGTAGAGGTTGGAATGTAATGTATGTAGAATTCAGAAACACAAATGCTTCCTTTGATTTGTCCAATTGCTGGAATTGTTGGGAGAATTGACAACTTGCCATTTATAGACTAGATTATACTCACACACTCCAGGTGAGGCCCTCACTTCTCAATCACTTTCACATTCAACTTGAACTGAGTTCCAAAATCTTTCAATTTTTAAAACAACACAGAGAGTCGATATTAGCCTTGGCTAGCCTAAAAAAATTCTTCTTATGCTTACATTTCCTTGTGGTGGTATTAAAATCCATTCTGTTTCCCTTTCAAAGGGCGGGCAGAAGCTTGCTTTCCTGCAGACACTTGCATAGTGAAAGTGAAAGCTGAACATCCCTTGAACCAGGAGGAAGGGGAAGAAGATATGAGCGGGACTCAGTTTGTCTGTGAAACTGTCATTCGCTCCCTCACCCTAGATGCTGCACCTGACCATAAGCCCCCCCAAAAAAAGAAGATCCTGCAGAGTAAGTGCTGTCTTTAGCTGGCTCCTGTGGCTTTACTTTTTAGCAGTCAGACATTGGCCACCAATTGCCGATGCGTGATATCGTTCTAATTGTTTTTCCTGATTCTTGTATTAGACTCTTTACAAACATTGCAAGACAACGTCGGCGGCAATATGATAAATGAAGAATCTCCTCAGATAAGAACTAAATGCACTTTGAAACAGGAAGCAAAGATTCATCAGTCAGAGTCAATGACAGAAACTGACTGTGGTAAGTAAAATAGGTTTGAATTTAAGACAAAGCTGTAATAAGGGCTACCAAAAACAGTCAGGTGTAAAAAGATCTGACACTGTTCTAGGAAATACATCCTTACTAGATCGAGAGAAACAATATTACATCAGAAAATTGGTGTGAGGACTCTGAACAAGCAGCTAGTTTAATAGCTGCTTTAAAAAAGAAAAAGTGAAATCGAGATGTAAAGGTTCCAGTGGGATGTTCAAATAAATGCTTGTGTTGTGCATGGTGCTTTTTCAAAGTAGGTGCTTTGAACTTAGTGATGCACATAATTTAGGAGCTGAAAACTACTGTTTAACTTCTCGGTGCAGCTCTTATTCCTATTTTTATTATAAGCATTACTATCAGCAGCATATCTGCATAGGCTTATTAGAAACATCTATTGCTCTTTCACACTGCACCCTCCCTCCCCCCCCAATAGACAAAGGAAATTATACCATTAATATCAGCAGCAAAGGTTTACAGCTGTTTCTGAACACTTGCCTTTTATATGTGAGACAATATGCTCGTTGCTGTTATCTGTATGAAATAGACAATTGTTAATGCTTCACTTTTTTCTTTTCTTGTTAGGGGACCTTCCCCTGCCTGATGAGAGAGCAATCCCCTGCAGTGATACTGCCAATTCAGATGGAGAGGAAGATGATAAAGATGATGTTCAAAGTCAAGGCTCCTCTGCTTCATCAGAGGATTATATCATCATTCTCCCCGAGTGCTTTGACACCAGTCGTCCTTTAGGGGAGTCTATGTATAGTTCAGCTCTTTCTCAGCCCAGTCTGGAAAAGGCAGGAGAACCTGAAAGAGGAGCAGAGAATCCTGAAGGGGGAAGCCAGCCACATACCCACAGTGTCAGTGATATCCTGTCAATGTCACAAACACTGGCTGTAGTGCCACTAACCCCAGAGATTGCGGACACTGTACCCCAGACACAGAGGTATGCTGCTTGGGCAAGAACAAAACTGTTATGGTGGGGTTGCTGTAGAGTCTGCAGGGTGTGATGCTTAAATTCAGTGTCCGAACAGAAACTGTTGGAAAAAAAGCTTTATCCCATTCTGGAGTGAATTCCCTGAATCCTGCAACTCTTGGTAAAGCCTGTGCTCACTGGTTTGGTGAGCGTGAGAGAGGGAAAGAGGGAAGCATGCAAAGCTTTTTCTCTTGTCTGATGACCTTGACTTACCTGTGTAGAATGAAAGTATAGAAGTAATTTTTTTTTTGCTTTATATTCTCAGGAATCTTGCATCTCTTCAGAATCATGTCTTCCAAGAACCAAACATACCAGCTTCAGAGAATATTTCTTCCACTCCTCAGAATCAAACAAGAGAAGGTATTGACAGTACTTAATGAAGGGTGCATTCACAGTTGTCATCACCTATTCCTTACCCCTAGCATTGTATTTAATGTCTTCTTGTTCTTGAGGAGAGCAGAAACCTACCAACTTGTGATTGTTTGTTTTTTTCTCTGGGTGTTGAAATTTTGCTATATAGAAGATTTGAATAAAGAAATAATGGGCTTTGTGGATCAGCTAAGAGCATCTATTAATTAGAAAGTGTAGGAGGGTGCTCAGAAGTATTTGTACACATCTGGATGATTACCTCGCTCTGGAATTAATGAGCTGTTGTTACAGTCACTGGGAGCTCAGACAGCAGCTCGTCATGTTAAAATAAACACCCACTGACTAAGGAGCCAAATTACTTTGGAAATTCTTTTGTTTTGACCGCAGTGAGAATTTGTGTCTGGATGACTAAATTATTAGGCTTAATATTGGTCTGAGTCTTACTGCTTTCTGCTTACGTTCATGTTGCATCTCTTCAGCTTCTCATTAACTGGAGATGTTGATACAGCATTTTTTCTTCCTGTTCCAGAACCCAGTGGTGAAGACAGTCAGGAACCAGGATCTTCTGGGGTTCTAACTAGTAAACAGAGGTGCTCAGAATATCCACGGTAACAAAGCTGTGACTTCACAAATACTGTTTTTAAACTAAGAACTGCTAAATCAGTGATCTAGCAAAAAGCACTGGCTTGCAGGTGTAGTCAATATTTTGGTAGAAAGGCCTCCCTTCTTAAAGGAAACATGCTGAATTGTATAATGCTATATTTTCATAAAATCTTGATTTCTACTTAGGCACAAATTTGAAAGATGCAGGATTGGCAAACAAAAGTGTATTGAGAGCTCAAGCTGAATCTTTCTAAATTTCTCTGGTTTTGTTCTGGAAAATCTCAGGATTCTTAGGATAGGGGTTTCCTAAGTTAGCTGCAAAGTTAAACATCTTAAGGTAGTGAGGCTGGAGGAATAAGACAAAACATTGAGCAGAATATGGAGTGACTGGAGAATTGATGTCAAACAAGGGGGAGTTACTCTGGCCTGACTGGATGTGTCACAATGCACACCTTTCAGGTAGAGGTGTACCCTGCTGGGTGAGAATATTTGATTCTTTACAAATGGCTGTGTTATGGAAAGCAAACTAATGTCCTTTAGCATAAAACCACAATTTAATAGAAGGTATCAAGAAAGAAGGAATGAGCTTCCTGGATAGCTCAGTTCCCAAGCAGTAGTGATTCCTTTGGATCATAGGTTGCTCTTTCCAATGAAAATTACATCTTAGCAAAGGGAGAGACTTGCATTTCATGTGAAATACATAGTTGGCTTTATTGCCCTAACGTAACACCTGACTTCTCTGCAGGTACCCTCCAGGAAGCAGCATTGCAGGAGAACTGGTTAAAGGAGCTTTGTCAGTTGCAGCTTCTGCCTACAAAGCATTATTTGCTGGACCACCCATTATAGAGCAGGTAGGTGTCTTTCCTGGATACTGTGTGAGTTTCATACAATGGCAGCCTTAAAATTATAGGTCTGTGTTTTAGAAAGTCAATATTCTGTGTATATATTGCACTGTTCATGCAACAGTGGAACATTAAGCTTGGGGACATACCTTTGACACGTGCTGCTCCACCAGCAGACTAGGAAATCCATACCCCAGGGAGAGAAGGATGGCTCTTATAGTGGTGTGTAAGACTAGGAATTCACCTTTAAGTGAACAGTGAAATTGAATAGAAGCAGCTTAATTGTGGATAAAAGGGCCAGTATAATGCAGGACCACTGCTTCAAATGGCAAAAATAAATTCTCTTTTCATAGCTTATCATTCTGCCTCTTTTCCAGCAGCCTGAAGCCGGGGAAGAGCACACCGCTGCTCTTCTGTCCAGTCTGTGTGAGATGGGGTTCTGTGACAGGCAGTTAAACCTGCAGCTGCTGAAGAAACACAACAACAACATGGTCCAAGTGGTGACTGAATTGCTCCAGATCAGTAACAGTGACTGGTACGGCAGCAGATGCTGAACCTTCCTGGTGGAGGGAGGAATCCTCTTCCTTGAGTAAACTCGCATTAAACACTGCAACAGTAACGGGCTGCTCCTCAGCTGCTTTCTGTTTGGAGGTGTGACTAAAACTTTGGCTTTTCTTTGAGCTTTTGACTCTTTTCTGATGGAAATGTCAAACGGTGATTGTCACAGCATCTTAGGAATTGGAGACCAGAATTTCAACTGTTATTTGGAACTCACTGTTACAGTCTTTAAGTTTCTAATTTCGTACTGAATCCTTTTGTCATGGCATCCTGTAGAATTAATTTAAACTTCCACCCAGATGAGAACTTCCCCTTTTATTGTGTGCAAATTATTTTTTTAGGCAGCTGGAAACTTGTTGTGTTGACCTTTTAACAAGCTTTGGAATAGGAACCAATGTAAAATGCTGCTGTAAAACGTAGTTTTGCCTAATTTACAAGAGATCCCTATAACTAGCAAGTTACTACTTCTGATATGATTTAGTCATTGATTTGTCCAATGCATGACAGTAATGTAACAGACTTAAACCTTACAAATGATTCTTAGAAGAAAAAGGTTGCTCATACACAAAAGCCATCTTGAACCACCAGCTTTTGAAAAGTCTGAGAGTGTAACCGCTGTTAAACTGATGAACACCAGGAAAGTCATTGTTTCTTGTAGCAGAATGAAGCAGGAGAGTGAATTCACCAGCAGCAATTGAACCATCTCTGGCAATGACAGTGCAAAACATACCTCTAACAGGAAAATATGACCTACGTAAATTATCTTAGGAAAAATGGAATGTGAGGGTAGGAAAGACCTTTCTAAGAATCTCTATAGGCTCTTTGTAAAAGTGTTAAAAATTGACTGCTTTCTTTTTTTCCGTATAGTGCAAACCTCTTACTCTGCTAAGACGACATAGAAGAGTTAGAGAATGTGTAGAAACCTATACCTGAATTAGAGTACAAATTCTAGTCATGTTTAGGAACGAGAAGAGCGCTCGAGGTAGGGATTGCGTGACTTGCACTATAGTGTGAAAAATGCATTAACTGCAGTAGTTTTCAGTGTACAGTCTCCTGTTTCTGGCTGCTCCTGTGTTTCTGTAGACACACGTGTAGGATTGGTTTTTTTTTCTCACAAGATTTTGCTTTTAGATGCCCATATTTAATTTGGAAATCCAAGAACTCCCTTCAAAATGTGCTGAGAGAGATTTGATTCTGAAGAATCACAAGAAATGAGCAACTTCCCCTGCTGTGCAGTGGTGTATCCATAGGTACCTTCTCAGAGTCCAGTCCTGCTGAAGGTTGGGGGGGTGGATACGGTCTTACCTTCAAGCAAACATTTTCCTTGCTGCAGTAAGAGACCCTTGATCGTAAAATATTTTATTACTGCTGCTTCAATCTAAGGTATTCCTGTTTGTCACGAGGTAGCTGAAGCAGTATCAGTATTGTGACTGACCAGGTGATCAGTAGTAGTCATTTTTTTAAAGGCATAATACCCTTAGAGATAAGATACCATTAAAATAATTGAAGAAAAAAATAAAAATGTATCATACTGGTTTTGTTTTAAACCTATTTTTATAGATTGTGGAAGATATACTCTTTAAATGTTTATTTTGAAATACAGTAGAACTATTTTGCAGTGTTTCCCATCTCTCTGTACTCCTGTACAACTATCTGCTGTGGACCAGATGAAGATCTTTCTGGTCTTTTTGCTTTTTTTTCCCCACCTGAACTTAACACACCCAGTTTCCCAGTACCTTTGGGCTGGTGCAGCTCTGGGAGGAGGAGGAGGAAGATGGACAGGGAGGAGGAGGATGGAGAGGGAGGAGGAGCTGGGCTTTCCCTGCTCTGGGCTGGGCAAGGAGCCTCTGCCTTCATCCCTGGAGTGTGATGTGTTCTATAAATTAACAAAACACTACAGCCTTTGCAGAGGAACACGTCATTGTGGGTTGAAATGTGAAATGCTGTTTTCTGTAGGTCACTTTTTACTCGGGTTTAGGTGCCGTACGCTCAGGCTCGGGATAGAGAGATTTCTGTTGGCTTTGTATATTTTGTTAATGGATGCATGGTATAATTTATAATATATTCTATAGTGCACACGTGGCCTCTTTGTGTGTTTTTTAGGGTGCTGGGGGGGTGTGTTACGGTGCCTCAGGCTTCCCCTCCCCCCGGGCCCGCCCCAGCTCCGGGCCCCGCTCCCTTCCGCCGCCGCGGGGCCGCCCCGCGCCGCTTTCGCTTCCGCACGGGCGGCCGGTAAGCGGGGTCGGGGGTCCCGGGGGCGGCGGGTGAGGGGTTGGGCCCGGACGACGCGGTGGGGTCGAACCGGGGCCGCCCCCGCCCCCGGCGCTTCCCGGCAGCGGCGCCCACCCCTCCCGGTGCTCCCGGGGCTGCCGCGTCCCGCTTCGTGGAGCGGGGCCTCCCGGGTCGGGGTGTCGGGGTCCCGGCGAACGGAAGGACCCCGAAGGGCAGCAAACGGAGGGACCGAACTCCTGCCGCTGCGCCTGTGGCGGGGTCCCGGGGTCCCGGTGCCCGCCCGGAGGAGGGGCAGCGTCTCGGGGCTCCTTCCTTGAAGAGCCAGAAACGGGAACCGGGAGCGCGGAGCGAAGCAGCAGCCTCGCCCCCGGGGCCCTCGGGAGACGGCGGGGCTGGGGACGGGGGTGGGACCCCGTAAGGTCCTTTCGGTGTTGGAGAAACCCAGATCCTCCAGGGATCCTTGTCCTTCCCCGAGGGGGCACAGAGTCACCCCGGGCTTTTGGGAGCTGATGGAAAAGACTTGGACTGTCAAAAGCCTGGGAAAACTATTTCAACTGTATTTTTAACTCTTTAAAACAGACTATTTTTAGACTCTATTATTTTATTTTGTCTGGTTTTAGCTTCCATTTGCACACTTTTGATTTTAGTCCGGCTGCTGTTACTGTTGGTGGCACTGGGCTGGGCTGGGAGCGCCGAGCCCTTGATGCTCAGGTGGGTTTCCCACTGGATGCTAGAGGATTGCATGTTTAAGAGGGAGTTACTTGCAGTAACTCAGCTTTTAAAGCAATTTCAGAGCTGGGCTTTAAGAAATTTGCTAAATGTGAGGATAGGGCCACGAAGATGATCAGAGGGATGGAGCACCTCTCCTGTGGAGACAGGCTGAGGGAGCTGGGATTGTTCAGCCTGGAGAAGAGGAGGCTCTGGGGAGACCTTATAGCGGCCTTTCAATATCTGAAGGGTGCCTATAGAAGAGCTGGGGAGGGACTCTTTGCCAGGAAGGGTAATGATAGGACAAGGGGAAATGGTTTTAAATTGGAAGAAAAAAGATTCAGATTAGATCTCAGGAAGAAATTTTTTACTATGAGGGTGGTGAGACACTGGAACAGGTTGCCCAGAGAAGCTGTGGCTGCCCCATCCCTGGAGGGGTTCAAGGCCAGGCTGGATGGGGCCTTGAGCAACCTGCTCTAGTGGGAGGTGTCCCTGCCCAGGGCAGGGGGGTTGGAACTAGATGATCTTTGAGGTCCCTTCCAACCCAAACCATTCTATGATTCTATAAATTGTGATCTACTACAAACACTAATGGTGCTGCTCTTGGAGGTTGGTTGACAGAAACAATTTTCTTAATGCATTTTTGTGTTGGACACCTAGTGAGAATCCTTCCTTCAACCATGGGTGGAAAACTTTCACAGTTCTGGAAAACACCTGCCCGAAAGGAGAGTGAAGACAAACAGATCTTGCCCAGGCCACCGGAGGCTGAAGATGAAATTGCTAATTACGCCAGTATCAATGACTCTGCCGCATCTTGCGTGGGCGCTGCTCGTCGAAGCTGCATCAACTGTCCAACGTGTCAGGGAACAGGAAGGGTCCCCAGGGGTAGGTGGTGCTTGTGTGTGCTGTGTCAGTGCTTTCTGAGCCTTCTGAGGTCGGTTCGTGTGTCTCTTTGCCTAGAGACCTTGGTTGAACCAGTTGGTCTTTGTTTTATTCAGTCTAGGACCGTCCTGTCCTGGTGCCTCCAGCTGTTTTGTGACTGCTGGGGGCTGCCTTTGCTGGGGGAGGGTGGGGTGGGAAGGCAGGTAGTGCTGTTTCTAGATAATTACTCAAAGGCCACCCTGGAGCCCCCATGAGAGTTGTTGTTGCTGCCCAGAGATGGGTAACACTCAAACTGAGATCTGAGCTGCATCACACCTGCCTTCTGCTTGGGAGATGGGGTTCCTGAGCGATGCCCTGCAATGCAATTTGCTTTATTTACTCGTGCACTTAGTGTGGTCTCTGATCTGTTGGTCTCTGATCTGCTGCCATCTCTTTCAGAGCAAGAGAGGCAGCTGGTGGCTCTGATTCCATATGGTGACCAGAGGCTGAAGCCTAGACGAACGTAAGTGCTGTTAAATTTTGCCCTTTTCTCATCTTTTGAATGTTTCTTCTGCTTATGAAGGAAAGCCTTGGGCCTTTGGGGGTTTTGCTCTTCGTGGTCTGCCTTGCAGTAAGGTTGGTGTTTACCGTGTCTCCAGCAACAGCAGATGTTGGACAGTCTTCTCTCTGCAGTTGTTGGGATCTCCAGCAGGTTGTTCTATAATGCACCGTGTCAGCCTGTGGGGCTCGACCCTCCTGCTGCTGTGATTCAGGAGCTGGCAAATAATTCTACACAAACCCATCCCAGTTCTCTGGCACCCAAGTTTTTATTGTCTCCCTGCTCTGAGCTGGAGCAGGACGGCGGGTGCTTGCGCCGACAAACCAAGAGAATGATTGTGGCCCTGGTGCTGTTTTGCAGGAAGCTCTATGTGTGTCTTGCTGTGACAATCTGCCTGCTGACCACATCCCTCAGTATTTTCTTCCTGTTCCCTCGCTCCATCGCCGTGCTGCCCGCGGGGCTGAATGCCTCCTCCGTTGGCTTTAATGCCACCACCTCCACTGTGTACCTCAACACGACGGTGAGTGCTCAGCTCACAAAGGGGTGGATCTGAAGGGCTCCCCGACTGTCTCCTGTGCAGCTCCACGGATAGGCTAATGAACTGATCACTGTCTGACATTCCCACCATTCCAAACCACTCTCTGGCTGCTTGGAATCAATGTCTAGAGCACGTTACAGCATCAGATGTCCCCTGGCTGCAAGCGAGCGAGCCACACAAAGGGGCTAAAGGGGCTGTGTAGAAGCATCACTGTGATTAATTCTGGGAATCTGTTTTCTTTTGCATCCTTGGGGTGCTTGGTTGTGCCCTTTTGACTGCCGTGGGAAGCAATGCAGCATACGTGCCTCCGTGGCCAGGCTGGATGCACCTCTGAGGGTTTGAAAGGGACAATGTGGTCTCGTGTTGCTGTAAGGTCACAGATGGAGTATATTTAAGTAGCTTTGCAACAGTAACATGGCCATGCTACAAGGTGATACGTGTTTTGGGTTTGTTTTCTTTCTGTTTCTCTCCCTAGAATGTGCTGAACATAACTAATAACAACTTCTACCTGGTCACGGCAGTGCAGCTGGACATAGAGGTTTTGCACCAGTCCCTGGTGGTTGGGAAGACCACCATGAAAACCCTGCTGAAGATGAGTCCTTTGACGAGCAGCCAGGTGAGCCCTGCTCTTCCTTGCACTTTCTCCTATGTTAATCTGGATGTCCTGGAGAGGGAGGTGCTCATTGTATCCTTGATCCGCTCCCTTGTTATCTGTCTGCCAAACACTCAAAGCTCTTCCACATGCAGCTTCCCACATCCTGCTTCAGGAAGGGGTGTTGTAGGACTTTACATGTTGCTGAGCTTGAAGCTCACACGTTCCTGGGCAAGGAACACGTGTCTGCTCATCCGGTAGCAGGCTGGGTTGTGTGCTTGCCTTAAAATGATGGCAAGCTTAAAAACAGGTTAAATAAAACCCTGGTGGGAACAGTTTGAGCACAGATGATCCATTCTTGGTGTAAAGGCCAGGCACGTGGCCTAGATGACCTTTTTAGGGCCTTTTTAGATCTAATTTCTGATTTCTTACCTAGTGTTGAAAACAATTGTTAGACTAGACCTTGAAATTCATATTCAGACACCTAAGGAGAGTCCAGTTCTCCCGACTTCAGATCTTGGAATTGTATACAAACTTTACAAACGTAACTAGTTCTTCTGTGCTTCCTGATTTCTCTGCTGTTCACATTTGCAGATCTATTATGTGGTGGCCAGTAGGATATTGGACGACAACACCTAGTGAGTAACTCTTGAAGATTTCTTCCCTTGGTTAGTAAGTAGCTCTAATGCTTATAGGCTTTTTGTGACTAGATTTCTTGTGCTGGTCCTGTCTGTAGCGCAAAGCTGAGTGAGTGTGTCATTTCAGTTTAATGTGTGGAGCTGATCTGGATACAATTCTTGCACATCCATTTTAAACTCATTTCCTTTCCCATTTATTGGTGTTCTTCACATGGAGTTGGCTCAACAATGCCATTTTCCGTATACATTCTGATGAGTAAATGATGATATCAATTTAATGTCTAGGTTGTGGACTTTAAATGCTCCATTTGTGAGCTGCTAAAAGTACCTTGTACAAACTGCATTTCTCTGCAGGTGACTGCAAATGGTGTGAAGTTCATAGCAGCCAAAGCTGCTGTGCAGACAGGCTGGTGTATTGCAATATTTCAAGGCCCATGATTACTAGATCCATAGTTACAGTTACACCAGCAAAAGCTTGTTTTACTGATGTAGATACTGCTGTGCTTAAAGAACTTTACCTGCGTGGCTGTTGTCAGAATATTGCAAAGACAGCCTTTTTGGAGACCTTTAGGAGACCTTTTTGGAGAAGCAGAGAAGCAATGGAATAATTGAGGACAGGAGACACGGTGCAGGCAGCTCTCATGAAATTAACTCTCTCTCTTCTCTTGTAGTAACATTTGCACCTGGACGAAAGTCAAAGTTCACAACATTCTGCTGCACATACAGTAAGTGATGCCTGGTTCAGAGCTATGACTGTCATTTGTGTCACCTAGGTTGCTTCTCAGCTCCCTTCAAGAAGGTCAGCAGTCACTGTTCTTGGAGCCCAGGACTATCTGCTGTGTGAACATGCTGTTACCCAGATAGGTGTGCTGGGGTGTGAGGAGGAGATAATTCTTCTCCAAAGCCATCGGTGTCCTTAGAAGTCCCTGGATTCAGGCTTTGCTGACAGCTCAGGCTGTCACTGTTACTTAAGACCTGCTGAATACAGCTGCTGCTGGGACAGGTTGCTGCTGGTCTGGTCCGAGTTAGACAGGGAAGCTCTTAGGAGATACAGCAGTGCTAGAATACCTCCATGCAGCCATGAAAGAGTGGTCTTTATTAGCTGAGTTTAAGACAATTTGGAAAACTGCAGCAGAAATTGTCTCCTAGCGTAGCCTGTGCCCACTAGAGGGGTCTCCCTGCTCATCTGTGTGACAGACTCCAGGTCGTGAGCCCACTTCTGGAGGACGGACCTTTAGGTTCACCATCTGCAGACTGTTGTCACTGAGTCCGTGATTCCTTCAGGAAGGAGGAACTGCTTTTGCATCATTGTCTGTTGTGCTAATCTGAAGCCAGGGCTTCACCCGCTGTATCTGGAAGCGGACTGGGAATATTAGGAAGAGCGTTTGATTGGAGGAAGTATGTGAATCTCTTGGAGGCATGCCAGGCTGGAATTCTGCCAAGTCACTAAAGGAATGTCACTAGCGATCTGTCGAAACGCAGCTATTTCAGTCTTGGTCTCCTGTTGCAATTTGAAGGGCTGTGTTGTCAAGTTTTTTTGGTTTATGGGTCTTAATGCAGGTTTTAACTGTAATCAGTGCTGAGTGATGTAAAGTTTGAACAGGTAAAGTATACAGAGAAACCCCACCCTACTCAAAGCACAGTAAAAATGGTGTGTTTTGAACAGCATCAAGAACGTGGCTGTTACAAGGCAACTTCGTCCTCTGTAGCTGATGCTCTGGGCTGATGGACCTTTGCACTCTCTACCTGCAAGCTCTCTATTAGCCAGAAGCTGAAGATGATTCCAGCTCTCTCCACACTTTTCTGCACCACATCTCCTGCCAGTGTCACCCACTGATGGATTGCATAGGGTTAGGGAGAAAATACTTGATGCAGAAAGGTAGTGATAGAAAGATAAATGCTTTTGTCTAGCTAACTCCATAAACAGCCACCCACTGTGACTTGCACTAGCACTTTGGGAACAAGTAAATGGTGAAGTGGCACAGGAGTGTTGTGCTGGGGTGGGAAGCCCTAATGGGCTTCTGGAGTGGCCAAAGCATCTGTTGTGATGATAGTGATTTTGCACAGCCTTTCTTTAATGCAGTCTGAAAGATGCTTTCCCTCTCCAACATGAGATTGAGCTGAGGGTATCTTGCCTGTGTTGTGTTTTGGGGCTACGTAATAAGGGACAAAAGAGGGTGGCGGTGGGATCTCACCATGGGTTCTTTATGTTTTGAGAGGTCTCATCTGGGACAATCCCAAGCACAGTTCTGCTCTGCTTCTGCCTTGCAGGGGTACCCTGACCTGCACGTACCTGAGCCACTCAGAGCAGCTGGCGTTTGAGGACTACCAGTACGTGGACTGCCGGGGAAACACTACGCTACCTCAGCCATCGTACCACCGCCTGCTGTGACGGGGCCGGGCTGGCAGAGCTTTTGGGTGCACAGAGGAAAGTCACAGGGAGACAAACCCTTGGGGCTTCTTCTCAATCTGCACCTTGAACAAGAGGCTCCATGTGTGTCCTGGGTGAGACTTCCATCTACAGTAACATCCCTGGCCCTGTGAACACGGACTCTGCTGCCTCAGGCTGCAGCTTGCTTTTCTCAGCATCTTTCCACGGCTGATGCTCCAGCAGAGACCAGGGGTGTCTCCACACGGCGGATGGGAGTGTGCCACGCTCTGTCTCAGTGCTGCTTTGGAGGCAGTGCCTCATGAGTCGGACTAACTCTAGTTATTTCCTCCTTGCATAATTTTGCACTTCTGTCCTGAATTTGAGTATTTCAGAACTTGAAAGAGACTGCAATGAGAATTTTTGGCTGGATTGCACCTACATCACCAGAACCTAATGATACTCGCCGAACCTCCACAAGAGCAAGAAGCAGGATTGATGTCTCTCTCTCTCTCTGAGTACAAAGAAAAACCACGTCGTGCCAAAACACTTTGTGAGCACAACTCTCGGCTGACTGCTGTGTTATGCTGTCCAGTATAGTGGGTGAGAATATGCATTTTTTAATACAGGTATTTTTAAAACAACCTCATCCAGTAGCTTTTCTTTATTGGCATCCGTTTTAGCAAGAAGAAAATGCGTTTTGTATCACGGAGCAAAAAGATTGCTGCTTTCCAGCCAGTGGTGTTTGGTGGCCAGAACACAGTTCGTTGTGTTGTTTTCTTGTGTACTTTGGCATTTAATGCTTTCAGCTTGAACAAGGGTGGGTTGAAGGAGGAGGGAGCCAGACTCTTTTCAGTGGTTCCCAGTGAGAGGACGAGGGGCAACGGGCACAAGTTGGAACAGAAGAGGTTCCACTCAAATATGAGAAAAAACTTCTTTAAAGTGAGGATGGCAGAGCCCTGGAACAGGCTGCCCAGGGAGGGTGTGGAGTCCCCTTCTCTGGAGATTTTCAAGCCCCGCCTGGATGCCGTCCTGAGTGACGTGCTCTAACATGCTCTAGGCAATCCTGCTTCGTGAAATTCAGTGAAAATTCAGTTCATCTCTGGCTGGAAAAGCTCAGTTTGCACAAATACCAGGAACCTCCGCCACAAACCATAGAGCTGGTGTCATAGAGCGGCCCCGGCGCCGAGTCGCTCTTGTATCCCCCCCGCCCTCTCGATGGTCGGCGGCGCCTCTGCCGTCACTGCCGCTTCCGGCGCGCCCCGGATGCGGAAGTGGTGGCGGGTGTAGGCGGGCGGGGGTGGAGTCATGGCGGACCTGGGGACGCTGGAGGAGCTCGCGAAGCTCGAGTACCTGTCGCTGGTCTCCAAGGTGTGCACCGAGCTCGATAATCACCTGGGAATCAACGACAAGGACCTGGGTGAGTGCGGCGGCCCCGGCCCGCGGTTGGGCGTCTCGGTGACGAGCGCGGCCTGGGCGTTGCGGGCCTGAGGGCTGTTGTGGGCCAGGCCGCGTTTTGCTGAGGGGCTTTTCGAATTCAGAAAAAAACTCCCTGTGATTTTCCTTCAAAAAAAATAATCTTGTGGGGGTGAAAAAACGCTCCGATTTGGGCTCCGGGGAAGGGAGGCGAGAAGGAAGCTTTTCCCTGGGTAGATGGGCCCGGCTGGTGACCGTGTTGCCGGGAGAGCAGCCTTTATCCAATCATAAACTGGTTATACTCCTTCTTTATTATTTGTTCTCATTTACTTTCTGCTTCTCCTTCGCAGCCGAGTTCGTGATAAGTCTTGCTGAGAAAAATACTACATTTGACACATTTAAAGCAGTTCTTCTAAAGAATGGGGCCGAGTTCACTGTAAGTCAACGTTATTTACCTCTTTTTCCTGTCCTGGTGTGTTTTATAGAGCTTTTTGTTTTAAAGAGAGTGGTGGGAGGGATAATTATTGGTTTTCTCCAGTTAGAAAACTATGCACTAATTATCTTTTGAGTATTTTTGTCTTATCAAGCCACGTCTCCCTCTCCTTTTTTATTTTTGTTTTATTTTTAAACTTCTGTAGTTTTTGTGAGGCATCCTTCTGAGGTGCTGAACTGCTTATTGTCTTGTTGCACATATCATATATGGAAGAAACAACTTTTCACAAAGGCAAATGCTGTCATAAGTCCTTTCATGATACTTAGATGCTGGATTCATGAGTTCCTTAGAAATGACTGTGGTTGGATTAAATAGATGATTGAAAATGACAAGTAGAAAAGTCACTTAAATGGAACTTTTATAATAGTTTTCAGGTTCAATTTATTATATATTTTTAGGATGTACACACAGTCTGGTGATACCTTCTTAAAATGAACCTGCATCTTCAGAATTGAGCATTTTTTTGGTCCTGCTAATAAACCCCCTTACTTTTGCCTTCTAATAATAGAAATCAGCATTGTAGTAATTTCTAAAGTATTTAATTGCATTTTTCAGGATTCCCTTATTAGTAATTTGTTGCGTCTCATACAGACGATGCGGCCTCCACCGAAAGCATCTACGAGCAAAGGTACGTGTGATCTTGTTCCTCTTGTCAGTTCATATAAAAAGGAAAACAAAACTCTTAGTCTTTTGTAGGTTTTTGCTCTGTTTGGTGAGATTGATGTAGTTATTATTCTAGTCTTGCAAAGCACGACTTGGTGTCTTACTGTGCCAGGAGGAGCCTCTCTGTTGTTAGTGGGAGATTAGCAAAGCTGTTTAGGCACCAAAAACTTCCTGAGTACACTATTTTGAGTGTTTATATGTTTCAGAGATTCACTAATAATCAGAATTGTATTTGCAGGAAGGTAATATTGTAATCTTTGAGTTGAATCTTTGTAACATCTGTATCAACTTTTGCATTCAGATGAAAGTTAAACCTACAGAAAAATCAAGAGTGAATCATTCTAGCTCTTCTAAGTTTTAATGGTTTTGTTTGTAATTTTTTTTTTTAAATGTCAAAATCAGAGACAGTTGCCAAACCCAAATCGGAGAAGGAAAAGTTGAGGGAATTGTTTCCAGCCCTTTGCAGGCCAGACAATCCCAACATCAGGGTAAGATCATCATTTCAGATTTCTTTTGTATGTGAAAACGTAATTTTTTTAAATCTTTTTTTTTCTGTTTCTCCTTAATGTGAGTGTCTTCTGCTAGTGCATGGATAGAAGTGGACTGTGAGAAATGAAATATAGAAGACAGAAGGCTGGTATTACTGCACGTAGTTATCAGGAACAGCTGTTGCAGCGATTGCCACCTTGATGCTGTTCTGCAGAATACCTGGAAAATGATGCTTTTGTGACATGAAATTTATTGCCTTTCTCACATAATGTTCAAAGTAATGATGGATTATTACAAACTAGATAAAAATTTTGGACATTCAGATGCTACAAGGGTCTTGCTCTTCATATTTCTGTAATAATTTGAAGTGTTGAGATGAAGCTGTCTTTTGTGTCAAAGCAAAATTGTCTCAATATTGTATGAAAATATAGGGGAAGGTGGTTTTTTTTCCCCATATTTTATATGTGCTTTCTGATCTTTTTTAATCTTGCATCCTTTCTAAATAGATACGCTTTTGCTTGTTCTTTCTGTAGATTAGTTCTCTGTGACAGACTTTTTATCAGCCTTCTTACAGACCTCTTCTCTGATCCCACAGAATATGTTGGATGAAGATGATGTCAAAGTGGCAGCTGATGCACTTAAAGAACTCGAAGCTCTGATGCCAAGTGCGGACAGGCAAGGCAAGCAGCGGAGCAGCGATCACCGGTGGGTTTCCAGTGTGTCTTTAGGGGATGGGTATGACCTGTTGCTCTGTTCTGACATGGAATTTCACTGCAAATACGTACTGTTTGTTTGTTAGGGCGAAGAAAAAGAGGAGGAGTCGAAGTCGTAGCAGGGACGGGAGACGCCGGCACAGATCTCGCTCGAGGTCTCGTTCTAGGACTCGGGATAAGAACAGGGGAAAATCCAGATACAGGTCAAGGAGCAGAAGTTGGAGTCCCAGTAGGGACCGTAGGGATCGAGAGAAGTATGTTGAGAAGAGCAACGAGAGATGGAGAGACAAACACATTGACCGTCCACCACCTGAGGAGCCTTCCATTGGAGACATTTACAACGGCAAAGTCACCAGTATAATGCAGTTTGGATGCTTTGTGCAGCTGGAAGGACTAAGGTAGAATCATAGAATTGCCCAGGCCGGAAGGGACCTCCAAAGGCCATCTAGTCCGACCCCCCCGCAGTCAGCAGGGACACCCCCAACTAGACCAGGTTGCCCAGGGCCTCGTCGAGCCTCTCCTTGAATATCTCCAGGGAAGGGGCCTCAACCACCTCCCTGGGCAGCCTGTTCCAGTGCTCCACCACCCTCACAGTAAAGAACCCCCTCCTGATCTCCAATCTAAATCTGTTCCCCTCCAGCTTGAAGCCATTGCCCCTCGTCCTGTCACTGCAGGCCTTTCTAAACAGGTTCTCCCCAGCCTTCCTGTAGGCTCCCTTCAGGTACTGGAAGGTACCTTCTGATGTTCACAGTAAATCCAGTACTATTCCATTAGAGTTCGATTGTCTCCCAGTATCTTAAAGAGGTGATGAGGCTGGAATAAGGTATTCTGGGTTTTGATGCCAAAGTAAAGATCTGTTTCAGAAAAATGAATTTGGCCGCAGAGAATGTTCTCCTTATAATAAACAATTTATGAATGTACGCAATCAATCAGTTGACAACAGAACATTTTAATGCAGACTCTTAACAATGTGAAGGACTGTCAAAGTAATAAAGCACAACATCTGACACCCTCCTGGTTGTCTCACCTACAGGAAGCGTTGGGAGGGCTTGGTCCACATCTCAGAGCTTCGAAGAGAAGGACGGGTTGCCAATGTTGCTGATGTTGTGAGCAAAGGACAGAGAGTAAAAGTCAAAGTGTTATCCTTTACTGGATCCAAAACCAGCCTGAGCATGAAGGTATGGAAAACATAATAGAGTGCTTATCATAGTTTGTGGTGCCAAAATTTTTAAAGATTACTCCTCTTGGCTGCTTTTTTCTCTTTGTGATGAAAATTGATACAAAAAGCCTTCAAGTGGGAGTTAAAAGAACTCTGTTCTGTGTTTGTGACCTATTACTTTTTACTTGTTTTCTGTAGGTTCTTGTTTTTGATGTAAAGTTCCTAACAATTTTTTGACTTGGTGTGTTAGCTAAGTGACAAGGCAAACCTCAGGCCGTTGCTGTTTGTCTTCCTCTTTCAGTATGAGAGAAGCATTTAATTTTAAATGAAATCTCTGCCGTTGCCAAAGCAGATCAGTGTTCCAGGCCTTGGGTTGTACTTACCTCATAATGCCAGCTGGAAAAAAAAAAAAATAAAAGAAAAAGAAAAGCAAGCATGCAAAATAGCATTTTCTGTGTATGGGCTGCTGTTGGCAATAGTCTTCCTGAGTAATGTATTCTGTGGTTTTGCTTGTGGTGGAGGAAGCACCAGTGTTAATAGATAAGGAGAAGTGCAATATACTTATAGCTGCTTGATTAATCAATCTAATGTAGGATGTTGATCAAAGCACTGGGGAAGACTTGAACCCAAACCGGAGGAGAAACCTGGTTGGAGAAACTAATGAAGAAATCTCGATGAGGAACCCAGACAGACCCAGTCACCTGTCCCTGGTGAACGCTCCGGAGGTGGAGGATGACAGCCTGGAACGGAAACGCCTTACCCGAATTTCAGACCCAGAGAAGTGGGAGATTAAACAGGTGGGTTTTCTCTTCAGGGAAACAGGGTGTCAGTCAGTAAAATTTCTAGGGAGTTTCACGAACTAGAATATAGCTCCTTGATTGATTGTTTGTGTAACTTAGTTCTTACCTCTACATTGCTGCCTTCTTGTGATTTGGGACTCCTAGCTTAATGCTAACTATGGAGTTAGCCCTGCTTTTTTGCAGGAGGTTGGACCAGGTAACCAGAGATCATTCTGAGCTGGGGGAATCATGATCTTTATTGACACTTGGGTGGTATTTGATTATGAACACAGTCCTGCATGAGCCAGCTGCCTCACACTGCTGGTGTTTAGAATAACAAAAGGACTGTTTGCTCAGAGGCTGGAAGACTTGGGGAGACTGTGCCAGGATGCAGGACCATTCCTTTGTTCTGAGATCACAGCATTCCTTTGTTCCTGTTTTACAAGTCTGGCAATAGCATTAGAACTGAGACCTCTTACTCATGAGTTGTGTTTTGTTCATTAGTGGGGACAAATTAATGTTGTATTCGTTCTGTTTCCAGATGATTGCAGCTAATGTGCTTTCCAAAGAAGAGTTTCCTGACTTTGATGAGGAGACTGGGATTCTTCCTAAAGTTGATGATGAAGAAGGTAGTGTTTCCAAGTAGTCTTATTTTATTGTAAATTCCATGTGTTTCTGGATGCATTTTGATTTAAAGAGAGATGATGATATAAGTGGATGTTAAGCATCTCACAACTTGCTGTCATCTGAAACATTAGGAACTAGTATTGCTCTGGCCTTATTATTTGTGACACTTGGATGTGCTCTGTTTGTGCATTCATTTTATTTGTGGTGTTTTCACTTCTAAAACTATTAAATTACATTATAATCAAGAATACACAGAAAGCACTGTTTGAAGAGGTACTTTTATGTACCTGGAAAAAGATGTTTAACTTTTCTATAAAATTTGTCACTTGTGAATTTCAGATGAGGACCTTGAAATTGAGTTAGTTGAAGAAGAGCCACCCTTCCTTCGAGGTCATACTAAACAGAGCATGGATATGAGTCCCATCAAAATAGTCAAGGTAAGAGATTTCCAGGACTAAAACAAATATACTTGATTTAATTAAATAAATAATGGGGATTTTAACAACCAGTTTTCCACCTGGACATTACTGAGAGGCCTGAAAATTGTTACCACTGAACTGAGGATCCTTTCTTTACTTGTAAAGCCAGTTTCTTTCTTTAACTGGTGACAGTGAAGTGGAATAATTGAGCCAAAATGCACATCAGCCCGCAGCAGCAACCGTTTCACACAAAGATGTTAGAATATGCTTTCTCTTTTCTGCTTTTTCTTGATTTTGAAAGTGGAAGGTGATAGAGAAATACTTATTTTTCATTGGCTGTACTTATAGTCCTTCTGACTGGACAGTGTAGGGATGCTCCACATTAGTCATAACTGCAGAAGTTTGTGAGGCTGGGCTAATGGAAATATCCCGGAACTCAAAGAGATAAAAGGTTAACATCTTCTATCTTCTAAAACATCTTCAGAAGAGGCTTCTAAAGGACAGTGGCAACAAAGAGATAATTGAAGGATTGGGAGTGCTTGAAATCTTAACTTTTTTGTTGCTTTCCAGAATCCAGATGGTTCCTTGTCCCAGGCTGCAATGATGCAGAGTGCTTTAGCTAAAGAAAGACGAGAACTTAAACAAGCCCAGAGAGAGGCAGAGATGGATTCTATCCCCATGGGACTGAACACACACTGGGTGGATCCTCTCCCTGACGGTATGTCTGAACACATCTGAGTCTAAACTGTGCCTTTTTTGTGACAGTTGAGTAAGGCAGGAGAAACATCTTGGAAATAGGAATGTCAAGGGAAATGTACAGGTGTATCCTGCTGTCCTTCAAGGATGCACTACTAAAAGGTGTGATGGACAGTGAAGCATTTTTTTTACATGAAAATTAATGTAATGGTGGGGGTATACATGTAGAAACTTAAAAAATACTTAAACATACACATGCGGAAGTCTTGACTAATGGAACAGTAGGAGCAGGATCCCTCAGAGTCTGTGCTGTGTGAACCTGAATGTAATGGTGAAGTTTTCCTTTTCTAGTGGATGGAAGACAAATTGCCGCAAACATGCGGGGTATTGGGATGATGCCCAATGATATCCCAGAGTGGAAGAAACATGCATTTGGTGGCAACAAAGCTTCTTATGGTAAGAAGACCCAGCTTTCCATCATTGAGCAGAGAGAGAGTCTCCCAATCTTCAGACTGAAGGAGCAGCTGATACAAGTAAGATTCTTGAAATGGCATTATTGCTTGAGCAAGCGACACTTTAAAATCACAGAATGGTTTGAGTTGGGAGGGACCTTAAAGATCATTGAACTCCAGCTTTCCTGGAGCCACTTTAGGGACTGGAAAGGGCTCCAAGTTCTCCCCAGAGCCTTTTCTTCTCCTGGCTGAACAACCCCAACTCTCTCAGCCTGTCCCCGTAGGAGAGATGCTCCAGCCCTCAGAGCATCATTGTGGCCTCCTCTGGACCCACTCAAACACATCCACGTCCTCCTTATGTTGGGGGTCTCCTGAGAGAAGAGTAGAGAGGGGTTGAATCACCTCCCTTGCCCTGCTGACCGCGCTTCTTTTGATGCAGCCGAGGATGTGGTTGGCTTTCAAAGAGTCCACAACTCTTTCAGTATGACTGTCCAGCCAATTCCTTAGCCACTGAGTGGTCCATCCATCAAATCTATGTCTCCCCAATTTAGAGACAAGGGTGTTGTGCAGGACAGCATCAAATGCCTTGCACAAGTCCAGGTAGATGATGTCAGTAGAAATATTCTTGGTTCAGCTTATTGACATTTGAATAGCCAGTTGATAATTTTACGTGCAGAACTGTAGTTCACAATAATTATTTTAAATTACTATATACACCTGTTTGTTTTAATCAAGCTCCAGATATTTATTGACAATAAATCAAAATTGAAACTGGGATTGTGTTGCAAGGGATGAGTCAGCCCAACAGTTAAGCGGTTCACTGACTTGATCAGTCAGAACACTTGTGTGACTTTTGGTCTGGGTCAGCTGGAGCAAGAGCAGGAGATGCTCAGTTTACTCCCAGATGCACTGTGTGGATTTTCTTGTTGTTGTTTTTAAATTTTGACAAGTGTATTACGATTTTTTTTTAGGCTGTGCATGACAACCAGATTCTGATTGTTATTGGAGAGACAGGATCTGGGAAAACAACACAGATTACCCAGTACCTGGCTGAGGCAGGTTACACATCGAGAGGAAAGATTGGATGTACTCAGCCTCGCAGAGTGGCTGCAATGTCTGTTGCAAAGAGGGTGTCCGAGGAGTTTGGTTGCTGCTTGGGACAGGAGGTAAATTTCCATGCCAAAGAACATGTCAAAATAAGCATGAGGAGAAGTAGGAAAAATCAGTACTGGAGCTAGTTTGCTCGTTTGTCCATGTGTTTTTCCCTTGTAGGCTATAAAATAAGCTTGCAGAATTAAAGGTGTTAATGACTTAATTCTGTAGCTTCAGTTTTGGTGCCACTCTTCTTTCTAGGTTGGCTACACCATTCGATTTGAAGACTGCACCAGCCCTGAAACTGTTATCAAATACATGACAGATGGTATGTTACTGAGGGAGTGCTTGATAGATCCTGACCTGACTCAATATGCCATCATCATGCTGGATGAAGCCCATGAGAGGACCATACATACAGATGTGCTCTTTGGGCTACTGAAAAAGGTAACGTAGCATTTGATTTACTGCTTCAGTGTCCTCTGTATGCTGTGTGTGGGTAGGAGCACACAAGGAAAGGCATGGTTGCACAAGTCAAGTTCATTCATGTGCTCAAAGAGTCTCTTCTGAAACAAAGCAAATGCTTCTAAGGGTTTATAGTCCAAGTTTGCATGAGATGGGCCTCTGTGCGAAGACAAAGCCAGCAAAATTCAGCAGAAACAATGAGAATTGGCAGTGCAGGATGCTCACAATGAGGGATGAGCAGAGGAGTGTTCTTGCTTTTGCTCTTCCTTCTCTGACAAAGGCTTTCTGTGATGGGTGCTGCTAAGAAAGGTTTGAAATGTGACCTTAGTGGTCAGTTGTTTGAAATTCTGGCTGCTGGAATGAGCTGCCCCTCTACTCAGACATCAGAATGCCTGATATTACTGGTCATATTTCTCTGAGTTAAGTCAAGTGCCGTATTTTAATAGTCAATAAATGATAAATTGAGTTAATAAATCAATAAATGATAAATTGAGTTAATAAATCAATAAATGATGTGAACTTTCTGTCCTGCTGTAGACAGTGCAGAAACGGCAGGACATGAAGCTGATAGTGACCTCAGCCACACTGGATGCTGTGAAATTTTCTCAGTATTTCTACGAAGCACCAATCTTCACAATTCCTGGCAGAACATACCCAGTAGAAATTCTGTACACAAAAGAGCCAGAAACAGATTATTTGGATGCCAGTCTCATTACAGTAATGCAAATCCACTTAACAGAGCCACCAGGTGAGTGGGGAATGGTCAGGGGTGGCTGGTGATTCAAGGACTCACTACCTGTGAGCAAAGTCTTTTTATAAGTCATGGGTCGTGTATTAGTAATGTAAGAAAAATGCTCTCAGCACTATCCTCTGTTGTTTGCAAATAGGGTAAATGCTGAAAAAATTGGGTGAAAGACTGAAGTATGTCGCTTCTGGCTAAGAGTTGTTGCCCAGGGGCTAGCAAAAGTTGGGGATTCTGTGCTTTAAATTGAGAAAGTGAGGGATGGCAATGTGGTAATGCGGGAGCTGTACTGAACAGAATTCATTCTGTGGATGTTTTAATTTACTTCCTGTGTAGGTGACATTCTGGTGTTTCTGACTGGTCAGGAAGAGATTGACACAGCCTGTGAAATCCTCTATGAGAGGATGAAATCTCTAGGACCTGATGTTCCAGAGTTAATTATCCTACCTGTATATTCAGCTTTACCCAGTGAAATGCAAACCAGGATTTTTGACCCAGCCCCACCAGGAAGCAGAAAGGTAATTTTGGTTAAGGATGGCTTCATCTTCCACTGACACATTTTAATATCAGGCTGTATTACGCTGCTAATCAGATGTCTTTTTTTTTTGGCACTTCTGATTCTGTTAGTTACAGCTACAGACAAAATGAAGTAGTTTTGGAGAAACAGTGGCTTATGTAGCTTAGAGCACATTTTTGGTTGCATTCATGCCTATAAGTGTTATCTAAGCCTTCAAAAATGTACATAAAAACATCTGGGTTAGCAAACCTCTGTGTGGGATGTTCTTGGTGCGTTTTTTAATGCTACCTTTAAAGGATATTAACTTCAGTGAAATCTAAATGCAGCTCTTGTTGGATGGATGTAAATTTCCTACCAAACAGCTAATGAATATCTAGAGATACATTCTCTAGAAGATTATTCTCTACATATGGACTGTGTTTGAGGCAAAAATTGTCCCTGAAGTCAGCACAGTCTGCTTACAAACATGTAATGATCTTTCAGTTGCTTTTAATTAAGGATTTTATCATGCTCTTTTCTCATATTGTCCAAATCTAAACCAAATGTAGATACTTAAAACCTATTAATCTCTGACTGTAGCACATTTCTTCTTTCAGTGTTAAATGATAGTAGTTGCATTCATAACAAATTGCTGTTATCATGTGGAATGTTTAGTTCTAAGTTGAGCAGGATGGTTGCCTTGGCAACCAGAGACAGAACTGGTACTGAATCAGACTGTTGTTTGCAGGTTGTCATCGCTACTAACATTGCTGAGACATCTTTGACTATTGATGGGATATATTACGTAGTGGATCCTGGCTTTGTGAAGCAGAAAGTTTATAACTCGAAGACTGGAATTGACCAGCTGGTTGTTACACCAATTTCACAGGTGGGCACTCTGTATTTGACAACTTTTGGGGGTTTTTTTCCTGCTAGTAATGCGTTTCTTGATGATGTGGTGTCCAAGCACATGGAAACAGAGTGAGACAATGATAAAACCACATTTCTGATAACTCCCTGAGACTCCTTGAGGCTGTGCCTGAGGAATGCGTACTCTGCACTGAAATCTCTATCTCTATTATCTCTATTAATACAATTAAAATTGTGAATAATTATTTTATTTCACTTGTTTTCACCTGTGCCTGTTTGCACCTGTTCATTGAGATGCCTTTTTACCTTTAGGCTCAAGCGAAGCAACGAGCAGGAAGGGCTGGGAGAACAGGACCAGGAAAATGCTATAGGTTATATACAGAACGTGCTTATCGAGATGAAATGCTAACCACCAATGTGCCTGAAATCCAGAGGACAAATCTGGCCAGTACAGTACTTTCCCTGAAGGTGGGTATTTCACCAACATCATCGTAAGTTTTTCAGTAAATTCAGTCTCTGCCTTTACGAGCCTCATGAAGTACTTCTGTAATTTCAGATCCTTCCAGTGCACAGAGGTATTTTGAGTGGGAGATTGTATCAAATGCAGTTCTGAGGCACTGGAGCTTGCTCCTGCATTTTTGTATTGAGGGTTATAATGTTGAATATCCAGCTAAATTACAAGTCTCAGCTGCACAGAACAGTTAGTTGCAGGAGGTTTGAGAAACAGGAATGTTATGGGCGGTACAAATGTCCTATGTAAGGTACATTTATATTCTTAACAGATAGGACCCACTGTTTTTAGGGTGGTTTTTGATCTCCAAACATATGTGTACCATCCCTCTGGGAGGCTGCAAACTGATCTAACCCAGTACATAGCAGCTGGGGAAGCTGCTGCCTTTCCCCCTTTCTGGCAACAAGAGGGAAGGGTGGAAATGTGTTCAGTGTCCATTGGAGCTGTCAAGTCACACTGGTTTGTAAGGCAGGAGTCCTCAAAACTGGCATGTGTGTCTCCTCGATGGAATCATCTTGCTTGAGAGGTATGGAACAGTACCAAAGAAACAGACTGGAAAACTGGATGGGGGGTGAAAGCCATGGGCCAATGTGGATTATCTCACGTGTAGAAATACAGCCTTGTATTCATGACTGGGGTTACAGTCAAGATAAGGACATGAGTTTAGGGTTGCTTAAAGTTCTGTGGTGCCTCATTGTTTGATGTTATGTGTCTCTCGCTGGAGTTCGGTGTCTTCCTTCTCAGTGTTTTAGCTGGGGTTTTCTCTGCTCCCTTTGTTCAGGCCATGGGCATCAATGATTTGCTCTCCTTTGACTTTATGGATGCTCCCCCGATGGAAACTCTTATAACAGCCATGGAGCAGCTCTACACCCTGGGAGCTCTGGACGACGAGGGACTGCTCACGCGACTGGGGCGCAGGGTAGGCAAAATAGGCAAAATACAATACTTCTTAGTGCTGGCTGGGTTGCAGATATTTAGGGGGTGACATGAGAGTAGTTGTATAGCACTATTGCCTGGCACTGTGTGTTTCTTTTTTCTGTTGTTCCCTTGTGTGGTAGCTTTTCACGTACTGCTTACATATCTTCTGCTTTTTAAGGAGCAGCTATTTATTACTCCTTATTCATCAGGTTACTTTTATTAATGTCTAAACGTTTCCTGTAAGTTTTAGGATATTCTTCTGGTAGTGAATATAGACAAATAATTTGTGTCATGGTGTGTAAAGATATTTTGGGTAAAACATACTGCTTTGGAAGGGAAGCATGGAAGAGAGGGCTTTGCTGTCTTTTGCACTGAGAGCTCAAGATTTTTCCAGGATGAAAACCCTGAATCTGGTTTCTTGCAGATGGCGGAATTCCCCTTGGAGCCTATGTTGTGTAAGATGTTGATCATGTCTGTCCATCTGGGATGCAGTGAGGAAATGCTGACAATAGTATCCATGCTGTCTGTACAGAATGTGTTCTACAGGCCAAAGGTAAGGAACGTGGCCAAGGAGCTGCAGTGTCACTCTTTGGGTGGGTTTTGTGTGCCTGCCTCGGGTGTTAGAGAGTGAGCAGATGTGCCAAAATGAACCTGTAGCTCATTTTGAGACTCTGCTCATACATCATATGTTTCTGATGTACCTTCTGGGGACACACCCTGTAGATCAGGGTGTTGGTAGTTTCTTTGTAGACAGGAAGATGGCAGTTAGGAGTCTCACGTTCTCTTTTGTATTTCCCAGTAAACACATACAATCCTAAGCCAAGTCAGTCTCAGCTCTGGAGATTGCAATGCCTTTGGCATTTTCAGATAAACAGAATGTATTTCTTCATGACAGTCCTATCCTGTGCTGATTTCTTTTAAGTCAGCAAGCAGCAGACTATGTATGATAGCATTCCTCAACAGCAGGCTCCCCTTGAATCCATTATTGCTTCATTATGATGGCTGTAGTTTTGGCTCAGTGAGAGCAGTCCCAGTGACCTTTAGATTCTCATCACTTGGTCTTAGTCACTCACCACTCAAAACTTTGTGTTATCTTCTCAGTCTTACATCATGTTTTTTGGTAGACTTAAAAAGTCATGGTATGAGTGACAAGGAGTCCGTGTCCTCCTTCATGTTGCACAAGGATTGTCTCTACAATGTAGATACCTGATTGATTCATATTTTATATGTTAGGATAAACAAGCACTTGCTGATCAAAAGAAAGCCAAGTTCCATCAGACAGAAGGGGACCACCTCACTCTGCTGGCTGTGTACAATTCCTGGAAGAATAATAAGTTTTCAAATCCCTGGTGCTATGAAAATTTTATCCAGGCCCGATCCTTACGCAGGGCACAGGACATCCGCAAGCAGATGCTGGGCATTATGGACAGGTGAGAATGTCAAGAAGGACAAGTAGTGACTTCCTTTTCTTACTGTTCTTAACGCTGTAGTAGCTAAACTAAATTTATTAATCTAATGTTGGTAGCTGCACCCAAATCTGGAGAACGCTAATTTATTTCTCTCTAACTCTCGTCTGGCAGGCACAAGCTGGATGTGGTATCCTGTGGGAAGGCAACAGTTCGAGTCCAGAAGGCCATCTGCAGTGGTTTCTTCAGAAATGCAGCAAAGAAGGATCCGCAGGAAGGTTATCGGACGCTCATTGACCAACAAGTAGTTTATATCCACCCGTCCAGCGCGCTCTTCAACAGGCAGCCAGAATGGTAAGGAAGGCAATATCGTGTAATTTTCTATTTCAGTTCAGACTTTATAAGTGAAAAGCTTGTGGCGTGCACTATTTTGGAGTGCAGATCGAAGTATAGGCTGCTGATTTCTCAGCAATGAGCAGAGGGAGTAAAGTTTCAAGTCTGCTTTTGGCTCTTTCTGCTGCTAAAATTAGTTCCTGTGCAGGGATGAGATTCACTGTTTGAGCCAAGGCCAGGCCTGGAGCTTTGGTTCTGTGTTTCTGGATTGTGGAAGTGAGTTTAAAACATTGATTATTGAGGGTGGGAGTGAGTAGAGAGAATTATTTTAAATTGGATTAAGTAGTTCAGTGCTGAAGAGTAGTTGTGAAGTAGGAGAGGGGAAAAAATAAAAGGTAGCTCTTCTGGATGGTTCTTTTGGACCCTGTGTTGGAGTTTATAAGGAACTTATGCTGAAGGAGGGTGAAATGGAGATAAAGGGGCAATTTCAGATACTCCAGGAGGGTGAAATGGAGGTAAAGGGGCGAGCTCAGATACTCCAGGCCTTGCTTTATCTCCTCTTCTTGGGAAAAACTAATATCCAGAATTGTGGTCCCTTTTCACAGGGTGGTGTATCATGAACTGGTGCTGACCACCAAGGAATATATGCGGGAAGTGACAACTATTGATCCTCGCTGGCTGGTTGAATTTGCACCAGCTTTCTTCAAGGTTTCTGATCCAACCAAGCTGAGCAAACAGAAGAAGCAGCAGCGGTTGGAGCCCCTGTACAATCGCTACGAGGAGCCCAACGCCTGGAGGATATCGCGTGCGTTCAGGCGACGATGAGCCTGGTTCCCTCGTGGACTCTTTACTCATTGTATATTTGTGGGACACCGAGTTGAAGCTTACCAACAAAATGAACAGAAAAGAAGTATTTTCTGAGCAAAAGCACAAGGGGGCGACGTGTGCTCATGTCAGCTACCCCCCAGATGGCACCGCTCCATGAAAAACGTCCTGAGTCTCCTCAGTGTGTTGCATCATTTCAGAAATGGTTCCTGCAGGTTTCTTTAGTCATTCCCCTTTTAAGAGACAAAACCTGAGACTCGGAAATCGGGGCACTGTGCTGAACAAGAACAAAAAGATAACAATTTAAAAATAGTTGTCCACCAACCTAACTGTTCTGAATGACCAGACAAGTACAGGCTGGAATAGTTCACCCCGCTAAAAGGGTTTTATTTCTACTTACGTTCTTGGACAGTGGCTGCTTTTTGGGAGCTGCTTGTTCTCCATTTTTCCTATTTTATGCATTTTTCTGTTAAGTGTAACTATTTGGCTTTTATGCAAGCCTTCTGTGGTAAGATATTTAGTATCTGGGATAAGGCAGGAAAGATCCCTCGAAGCCCAGCTAGAATGTCAGTAATACTTGGACAATGGCACAGGTCAGACTGTGAGTCTTATCCTTCATCACCATCTCCTGCGTGCTGAAGGCTAATATATCAACTGGTAATTAACCACATCCACTCTGGAGCACGGCTCTGTCTGTGAATGTAAGTGGTTACAGATGTTGAGACTTTCTATACAATGTGTCATGTGTTTTATTTCCACTTACAATGTTTTGTGACATCATGACTGTTGGTTTTTTTAATAGAATATGCTCTTACAGCTAAAATGTCTGTAAAACATTGTGTAACAGTTCCTTGTTAAAAAAAGCAATTGACTGTTCAGCGTGTGCTATGTCATGCTGAAGCTATCTGTAAATTATTTTTCCTGTTGCAAGTAGATGAAACTTATTTGACTCCATAGCTGCAGATACTTTTTTTTTTTTTTTTTCTTTCCACATTGGGACATTTGCTAAAATTCTTGTTGAAATGAGTAGAATGAAGTTGGCTGGTTTCTTTACACTCTGAATATGAAGAATGTTTCACGCAGAAAAATAGTTACAGTAGAAATCTGTATGTATGTACAAAGGTGGGCAGGAATGTTGTATATACTGTTTTATTATGTTGTATAAATGTCTTGAACTTTCCTGTGGTGTCACATTTTCTTAAATAGAATTAAAAAGTTCCTACCTTTGGAGGCTTTTTACATCATGGCATTAGGCAGAGAAAGTTTGTCCTATTGACTACTCTTCTGAGCTTGTTCTTCCACAAACTCTGCAGCTGCATCTGTTACTGTTTTCTATGAAAATTTACACTTGACTTTCAAAAGTCAAATGAAAGATGTACAAGAGAAAATGTGCACTGTGGAAGTCCCAGCTGTACAGCATACTTTGAGGTATTTCTGTTCCAAATTAATTTTGTATTTGCTTCTCCTGTGTAGCCTCTTTCTGACTTACAGTAGCAGAAGACACCAACAGTGAGGATTTTCTTTTTTTAAGTGAATGATTGTCATCTGTTCTCTGTGTGTTTTTTCTTTCCTTGTGTAATTTCTTCAGTAATTACCTCTAATTAATTTACAAAAACTTTTCCATGTCAACCTCAGCTGCTCACTTTGGGAATACCTATGCAGAACTAGCCTGTGAAACAAGGATGCTGGCTTACAAACTTGAAACACTTACAGTTTTGGTTTTTTAAACAGGTTTTATCAACCTGTTACTGCCCTGAGGTTTCTGAGAGTAACATTCTAATGTCTTCTCCTGTTTATGTGATTTTTAGTTGGTTTATTGTGTATAAAAATCTGAAAAGAAGCTGCCTGATCCCAGGATAGAGCCACAGACTGTTCTGTCAGTACTTGCATCACTGAAAGTATTCCTTGAGCTCTCCTGCATGAGGTGCTGGTGTAAGCACTTCCCAACCTGCCTCTCTCTAAATGAACTGTGTTGTTTGAAATGGTATAAATTGTAGAACTTTTGGTTCATTTTGCCTGTACTGAGTTAATGCACTAGAACTGGTAACACAAGTTCCTTACCTAAAGGAAAAAGTTCTGCCAACAGAGGCCATGCCCCTACTCCCAAATATTTTTGGAGGTGTTAGGTTTAGCATAACTGCTAAAAAGTTCCTGAGTAATACAAGTACGTGTGTGCACAATCTTTGCGTGTCCCTTTGTCAGGAATAAATTGTCTCCTTGTGCTGCAGGCTCTGCTGGCAGGGAGTGGAGGTTTCTGTGCCAGAGGAGATGCACTGGCCCTTTCTCCAGTCTCACAGGCCAGGAGGAGAGAGATGCCCTTGCCCTGTCTCCCATCTCATTACTATCAGCAGCAGCAGCAAATACAGCATCTGAAAGGTCAATCCTCAGGCTTGGGTGGCTCCCTGCTTCTAGTAACACTTGGTTAAGGTGTTGAAAAGAGGCTTCAGCTGTAACAAAGGGGGAAAGTTTGGGCTGGTGAAGCACTGGGGTTACTCTTGCACCTGCTGGCGGAGACCAAGCTAACAGTAGTTGGCCACAAGTGAGCAGCAGGAAAAGCCAGGGGTACAGACAGGGTGAGAATACCCGAGCAAGAATAAAGTGCAGGATCACGAGTGTGGTTCCCACAAGAGGTTGGCAATATGGCACCTGCCTTCACGGCAGGGGGGGGGCTGTAAGTGAATGCTCAAGCTAGGGTTGCTTTTGTTCTTTACTCCTAGAAGACCAGGGACCAATGTGAAATGCTGAATGGTTCTCTGAGGAGTTCCAAGCCATCTGTGAGCCTCTCTACTCCTTAAATGTTGTGGAACATTTAATGCAAGTAGCATGGACTGAACGTTGCTGGTTTCTGTCCCCTCTCTGGTTCCCCGGAGGTTTAACATGGTGTCCTTGGCCTGCTGGGACCTCATTCTGCTTGTGGAGATGTGAATCTTTCTGCAGAGACGGAGCAAACAATCCTCAAACTCCAGCAGCATGTGCCATGGGCCAGTTTGCACGTGTTGGCTGATGGTCAAAAGCTAAAGATTCACAGCAGAAGAATACCTGACACATTGGTGTGTACACACACACTTGCACACACCCAAAACCAACCTTTTGCCCTAGTGCAAGAAAGACAAATAAGATTTTCACAGCCAGCCCCACATATGCTCCATCTGTTACAGTAACTACCTTAACCTCATTAAGGGGCTTGTTACTAGAGCGGGTGTGACAGCAACGTGCTACTTACACAATGGGAGGTTTGTTTTTCAGTAATTCGGTTTTCATGAGATTCCTGTGACAATTGCAGAAAGCTGTGATACTGACCCATTAGCACTTTCATGGAATTTTTCATTTATGAATGTATTGTTCTTTCAAACCAGCTGGGAATACAGTGAGTAAGTGTCTGATTTTAGCAAATGTGGTTTGTATGTGTATGTTCCGTAACCAGCATAAATCCTCTGGCTGGTCTGTCCGTACCCCGGAGGTGGAGGAGCAGGGCTGTGCTGATCTGAATATGCTGGTTTGTGTGGATCAAAACTGATCTTGTAGTTCTTGTAGCTGGTAGGTCTGTCTGTCTGTCCAAACACAGCCCTGTGCTGCCAGCTACGCTAAAAGCACTGCGTTTTTGTTGGGTGTAGAAAAGTCTCCTATTTGAGTTCAATGTTGGGCCACTTCTAGAAAAAAGGCGAGGAGGTGGAAGTGAACTGGATCATACGCAGTCAGTAGCAAATCCTGGCTATTTTGAAACATAAATGTTAGTTTCTACCATTTAGGTCTGCCACAGCAACAGTGTCTCAAAAGCCTGTTGATGGAAATTCAGTTAGATTTTCTTCAAATTTAGGAAACATAAAATCTATCACAGGTGTGAGGAAAAGCCTTATAAATTCTTAGGCCTCTCTTGATTCATTCTCCACCATGTCCATTTAGGACTTAAACACTCCTGCTCTGCCCTATCCCCCTACACGTGACCCTGCCTCCCTGAAAAGTTGAGGGCGACTCATGGCCCTCAGGTGGATTTGATTTTTGCTTAATTAGAATGCTGTGTCTCCCTCCCCCACCCCCTGTGCTGTGCTGGTTGAGCTCTTCTCTGCAGTTTGGAAGCTCTGAGCCTTGCTGAGGAGCAGGATCAGCAGAACTCCCTGCCCACTTTTGGGTCCAGGTTCTAGGGTGTTCAGGGAAAACGCCAGGAGCTGCCCTCTGAGGATGCCGTGGACACGTGGAGCGCAGCAAAGGTAAGGAGTACTCGTCTGTGCAGTTGAGTTGGGCAGAGCTGGAGAAGGGTTAGGACCTTCTGGGTGACACAGGACTTATCTGTGCCCCAAGAGCAGGCAGGTGGCTGCTGCCTGCACGGAAAGCTGAGCTGCCGGCCCTCTGAGGGGAATGGCTGGAGGCTGTTCACTGTGCCTCTCGTCTTGGGGGCTGTTGGGTCTGTAGGGTCATTTCTGTGTTTTAATTACCCTTAAGATTTGGGGGCAATCAGGGCAGAACGTGCCCCACCTTGGCAGCGTTTGGTTTGTGGTGGTATGGGGCCTGCTGGGCCCGCCATCTTGCAGCACAGGCCTCGGGCCTGGCCCCCGCTGCTGGCAAACACAAGTGGGTGGCTGATGGCAGGAGGGACAGTGGCTGGCAGAGCATGAGGCACTCGGAACTGTGTGTGTTGTGTGTTGAGATGTTCAGCTGGAACCAAAGGCACCCATGGCAGGGCCGGGATGGCAGGTGGTGTCTGGGCAAGCCAGGGTGAAGCGGTCTCCAGGACCCCAACCTGGCAAGGCGCTGGACTGACCTCTTTCTCTAGGGACAGCCCCTGAGGAAACCTCCCCAGAGTCAGGGCCTGGGTGACCTCCCAGGGACCGTGCTGGTCTCTTGGTCCCTGCAGGCAGAAATGGTCAGAACATGAGCTCCTCAGCCTCTGGGGGTGTGTCAGGGCAGTTTGCTGTGTTGATTTCTTGCTATATTTCTCCTAACAAAAGTAAGCAGGCTTTGTAATTTCTCTGCTATGTGTTCTTGCAGGTGCTTTTAAAACACCTTACCTGTGGGGCTGTTTATAAGCATTTTTTCCTGCAACAAATCTTCCGCTTTGTGGTGTTTAGTTTATTTGCATTGGGATACTTTAATTATGTGGAAATCTTCAAGTAGGCAGGAATCAGTTCAGTAGATGCGGTGTCAGCCAGTGGGCTGTGCCTCGGTCACCCTGGCTGAGGGGATCTGTGTTTCTGTCTCACAGAATCAAAGCCAAAAGGACAGCCATGGTAGTGCCTCCAGAACATGCTTGAGGCTAATTCAGGGAAATAGAAACAGGTGCCACAAGAACAGCAGAGGCACGTCAGGTGCCTTTAGCTATTTCAGCTAATAAGCTCCCCTGAGATACCTTCCTTTCCACTGCTTTGCTTTCTCACCTGATACCTGTCCATAGGTCCATAATGGCCAAGAAAATGGTTACTAATCTCCTAAGCAGAGGCCCTGACTAAGCGGTGACTCTGTGCAGTGGAATATGTTTGTTCAACTACTCGTTCTGAAGAGACCAGACACAGGAAAGCCTTTAAATAATTTACAGCTGGTACCTGTTGTGTTGTTCAGAAAGAGGAGTGGGCTGCAGAGGGGGGCTGTGCATGGCTGCCTGAGGGGTGCATGCTGCTCTGGGGCAGTAAATGCTGCCCTCAGGGTTGACTGAATGGTGGTCTCCTGCTGAGGCCTCCATTGACTTCAGCTTAGCTCTTCTCTGCGTTCAGCTGTGCTGGTGGGCACTTCCCCTCTGCCGTCTCATTAATGTGTCAGCCATCAAGGCACAGAGAGATCAATATTCATTGTGCAAAATGGTTTCCCACGTTGTGGTAGATTACAACGTGTCTGTGATTCAAATGCAGAGGAGGATGGGGAGATGTGTACAGGTGTCATTAGGGCTGATTCGTTTATGGGAATGAATCTCCTGAGCATATCAAGAAAACTTCTCAAGCGTTATGCCTCCATAAAATGTTACGAGGAGTCAAATGTCATGGTGTTAATGCCCTTGGAGTTACCTGTGCTCCCCTGTAGCTGGCTTACCAGTGTAAACAACAGACTGCTCCTCTTGAGGGATGCTCACCTCATCCCCGAGCCTGAATGCTGAGCAGAGCAAGCACAAGCTCTTCCTGAGACTCTGTCTTATTGAGACTTCCATGGGAGCGTTTTACAGGGTTGTGTGGGAGCTGCTCCTGGAAGCTCAACTGTGACAAAGGTTCGTGGCTCACCAGAGCAGGGAGCTGGTGAGTCCCATGCTATCTCTGCACTGTAACCGACAGGCTTAGTGCTAAGGAGACAAGTCACTCCTGGGCTCAGGTTAAAAGTACTAACCAGAAGGGGTCATGGCCAGCTCTGGTTTTCTTTGTTCTGCTGAAGCTCTTAAATAGGTGTGAATGAGAATATGCTGTACGTGGGAGTGTCTGCCTGGCACAGAGCTGCTCAGAGCTCCCACCAGGCTCTGTGTGGTGGACAGGAATGGCACCAAAGGGGCAAAAGGGTATCTGCTGCTCTCCTCATCTTTTGAGGTGACACTGCTCAGTTTCTCTGGCTTCTGGAGTCTTGACCTGGCCAGGCCAGAATTTGTTCCTGGCAGATCTTGTCCTGGCTCTCTTCCCAGCACTGCTAGGAATGATGCATCACCTCTTTTGACCTGCCCACAGGCCCAAGGCACGTTGTCAAGGCTCAGCCTAGCCAGATGACATCAACCCTGTTGTATACAGCCTCAAAAAGATGAATGCACTTTCTAATAACTGTCTTGCCTTCCCGTTCAGTGCTCAGCCCATAAAGTGAGATTTGCTGCTGTCTTGTTCTTCATTATCACTGTTCATACTTATTTCTGGGTATCCGGTAACAGAAATATTTCCTGGGTTAGCATCAGAGAGTTCAGCTCTGTTTGGCAACTCGTTAATAATAGGGGTAACTCTTTTGCCCTAGACAGTACACTCTAAGGGTACATCTGGGACATGCAGTAATGTTACATGTTAATTATTTGCTATGACCTGAAAGGAAGTTTGCATCATGTTCTGAGTAATAGGTTCATGGTGTTTCCTGCTGGGCTTTGTACTGTTGATGTAGCAGGAGCAACAGCAAAGCCATTGCAACAATAGCAACCACACAGGGAACAAAAGATCTACAAAAAATTACATTAGGAAGAAGTGACTGCTTAGAATTTATTTCTGGCTGGTCCCAAAGCATCATCATATCCTGAGGAATAACCTGCTAGGATAAATCTTGAATATAATGAGTAAACAATAGTAAAAAGTGTGACAATGTTAGGTAAATTTGCGTCCAGATGTCAGTGCTTGTCATGAGCAGAACTCTGTCTTTAGAGGGTTTTCTGTTAAGAATTGTATCATTCTTACCTGCCTAATGTAGAGCAAAGCTCAGCTGTGAATTTGTATGGTGAAGAGTTACTGACTTAAAGGTGTATTGCAATGGCTGTACATTCTCTCATGGTGTAACATGCACTTCTCCCCACTCAAGTGCTGAAAGCTTTGGCTCAGGAAAAGACAGCTCTGCTGCCCGTATCAAGAGTGGTTGCAATTTTGCTGTAGGAGCAGGAATGTGAGTGACTAGATCACAAAGCTGAAACATCTTCTGTGTGGTGGGATGGGGCTGGCACTTTCAGGACGAGCATGAGAACTTTATGACATTGGTCTGTTACCTCCAACATTGTTCCCTAATCAGCTGCCTCTCTGTCTTGCTGAACTGGAAACACAGAGTGTATTTATTGACTCTCAACTCTCTGATCTGGTTATTATAAATCTCTGCCCTTTGGAGGCCGCTGCCCCTCAGTTATGAGAACCTGATCTTGCTCATTCCCAGAACTGCACTGCAGCTATTGATCTGTTGCACTGACTTGACAAACCTGAGTGAAACATGGAGCTAAAATTTCATCCAAATGTCAACTGTCTCCCTGAATTCCCTTTCTGGAGGGAAGATTTGCTGGGCAGAGGGTAGCCCAAAGAGTACTGGTTAAACGTAAAATCCATGGGAATCCTTCAGATCGAGATATCAAATAAAAGCAAGCTACTAGTCTCATTAATTAGAAACACAGTGTTGCGACAGGGTACAGCCCACACCTATGTTTTGCTTCCATAAGGACTTGCCTTAGGAGGTACCTGACTCTTGGGGAAGGTACAGTGTGAATTGGGGTGGCTCCTGTCCCTGCTGCAGCCTCTGCTGGGGCCCGGGCAGGGCTCTGCTGCTCTCAGGGCTGGCATGTCCTGCGCTGCCCCAACCACTGCACCAGCTCAGCAGGTGGTAACATACTCCCTTTCCTTGCAAGCAACCTCATGTGCCACTGCTCAAGACAGAGATGGTTCAGGGAAAAGCTAATTAAAACCCAGTGGCCAGGGTACGGTAGTGCGTGAGCATGAGCAACGTCCTCTGCAGCTGCAGAGAACTGTTCCCCTGACACCAGGTGCAGCCGGAGGTTACATATTTCATGGTGATCTTTCAGTCCTGGTTGTATGAGTGGTTGTGAAGATGTCAAGGGAGTGAAGTGTTCGTTTAATGAACTCCACCAACATTCAGAAGTCAACACACATCCCTGAACTCTCTGGACTAGCTACCCAAAGCTGCAAGCTGGTGCCGAGGAGATGGGCAAAGCAAGCTCAGAAGGTAAAGGAGGTCTAGCCAGGAGCTGAATGAGGGCACGCCGGCCAAAGACATAGACCAATTTATTAATTATAGTATTTTTACACTCATAAATAGTAAAGGCAGCTTATACCAGTGGAGGGGTTCCCCTTCACCCTCACTTCTGGGACACCGGAGGAAGTGTGCTTGCCAGGTGGGAGCAGGGCAAGAGAGGAAGGCCAGGAGCTGCCAGAACAGCAAGTCTCTGGAACCACACAGGGATCAGCAGAGCAGGCTGCTCCGAGAACCTGGCCTCTTCTCGGGCATGGAGAGCTGCCTTTCCTGGCCCTCATGCCCAGGGACAAGGCTGGGAGATTGGCATTAGCCATGCAGGGGAGAGTCTTGGGGGGAAATCAGGCTTTCAATCAATATACAGAATTTCCTCTGGAGGTTACCACATTGGCAGCATTGGTGATGCTCTGTATTCAGCAGCTGGAACATCAACCTGAAGCAGTAGGAAACAGGCTTTTTCTGTATGGGTACGCTGTACTGCTCCTTGTCTAACTGGGTATGTGCTCAGAGCTGCTAATTATAAAGTGAGGCACCTCTCAATGACAACGTGGTGCCCATTATAAAGGTTCGCTATTGTGGAAAACCAGTCAAAGGCTAGTTATGTTGTATGTGCTCTGTTGGGCTGCAGAGATAGCTGCCTTTCCAACACATCAGGATTTCCCTAAAACATGCAAATATCCGTGGAGGTAAAGGCTAAATTTGGATATTAAGAATTACATATGGTTTAGGTTACTTTGTAAAGCATTTTCTTAACACACCTCCACCAGGTTCTTTTCTTGCCTCAAATGATTTTCGAGCCAAGCCCAGGATGGGCACACTGGTCTTCAAAGATCCTGAGGATGTTTGTTGAAGAAGTTGTTCAGTTTGGAAAAGCTACAACACTACAATGAACTAGTGGCTCAGGCCTTGCTGCCTCCTGCAATCCACCTACCTGAAGGTGACATTGACTTTGACCTGTGCCCCAGACCAACGCAATCAGGCAGCTCTGTAGTTCCCCTAAATCGTATGTTGTGCCATGTACTCCAGATCTGCTCCAGTCCTGGCCAGAGCCCCCATCTACCCAGCTCAGACAGAGTGCCCAAATACCAGAGAGCCCTGGCACAAAGAGGTATGAGCAAGGAGGTGGTAAGGCTGGAGCATGTACGTACAAGGCAACAAGTATTCTCCATTCCCACAAAGCAGTTCACAGGGAAGGCAAGACTGGTGAGTCTGGCCTTGCAGAGGTGAGTCCACGTGCTGGTCCCCTTGCTGAGGGCAGGTTGTACAGAGGTTCAGTTCTGGAGGAATGGAGTCAGAGCAGCATTGTAGGATCCTCATATCTGAAAAAAAGCCCAATAGGACGGCATCTCCTCCCTCCCCAATGAGAGGGACTGTGACAGGCTCATTTGTTCCAGCTGGAGGCAGCAACTCTCCAATACACTGCTGAAGCTGCAGCTTGGATGCTCAGACGTCCGCGTTGCCAAGAATGAGTCCCATCCTGAGGAATGAGGGTACAGTCACAAGCACACAAGAGCCCTGTCAACTGTCAGGTGACTATCCACACGTGGACCTGAACAGCCTTCCTGACCACAGCAGGTATTCGTAGTTCAGTGCTGCTCTAGGCCAGCCTGGAAAAATGCTTGTACTGATTGAATACGAACCAGTTATCTCCTTGTATACGTGAGCAAGGGTGGCACAGCGTGCCCCCAGCAGTGCTAGTACGGGTAGCCTTTGCTGTAAAACTGTGGAGGGAGGCTCCCAAGGTCTGGCAGATAAGCCGTGTTCTCATCCAGGTGGGAAAGGGGCACTGTGTCCTCCTCACTGATCTGCCGGTCAAACTCTGCCTTCAGCGTTGGCCGCTGGTTGTCGGGGAAGGCCAGAGAGAACAAGGCTTCAGGCTCACAGACAAACTTGTACACGTAGCGCTCTCCAGCCACCTGCAGGGAAGATATGAGATGGATGTTGCAGGCACACAAGCAGCACCAGGCAGTGCTCCTCAGCAGTGGAGAAGGCTTGCAAAAACATCTGGCCCATTGCGTTGGCCCATCTGGTCTCCTGTGGAACGGCTCCTGGGAAATGGGATGCTGCCAGCTGGCTCTTTGTCCAGGTGACAACAGCATCAACAGTCCCTGGCAGGTCTGTGCTGTGACATAAGTACACTTAACAATTATCCTCTCCAGTGCCCTGGATCTGGAAGAGACCGTCCCTGCCACACAGGACCAACCCCCAGGCAGCCTTTCTCTCACCAACAGCAAGGCTAGACTGTATGTCCCTGCAGCTGCACAAATTCCAACCCCCGTGACTGCAGACACATACAGGAAAAGACAGAAATCATGATTCCCCTTTGTTTTATTTCCCATATGTTGCCTAGATTCAGCTCCTTTGCACCCTCCTCATTTAAGTGCTGCAAAGGGAAGTTATGGGGAAAGAAAGCTCAGGATGCCTGGCTGGCTCAAGTGCATTCTGGATCGTTAAGACTTGCCTTCTCAAACAAGAGAAGCATCGTTAAAGGCATTTTATGTTTTTTAACTCTGGCTGCTTTGCAAACTGACCTTCTGCATGATGCCTTTCTCGTAATAGTAGCGAAGGGATCGGCTCAGTTTGTCATAGTTCATGGCTGGTCGGTTCTTTTGGATCCCCCACAGCCTGGCTACCTGTAGAATAAAGCATCCCAGGGCGTGAGTCTGTGAATCCAACCCAAAGGCAAAAGAACATTATCCAGCTGATTCTCTTTTGAGGAATGGTACCATGACCCATACTATTATTTACAACGTTTAAATAATAGACTCAAACAATAATTATTTAGCAACTTTTCAACAAGAAGAGTAGAACTCAAACTGAAGCAACCTGTATCACAGAGAGGAATTCTCCTTGCCATTACGGACCTCATTTGCTGTCACCACTTCTCACTGTCCAGTACTCTGAAAGCTTGAGGTTGCTAAAGCTGTGACACTTAATAGTCAAGGATGACATTTTTACCAGAAGCCCAAGAATAAGGGAACATCTCCACTGGAAGACCTACGTGCCGTTCTTCCTCCTACTACATGATTTTCAGCTTTGTTCCTGAGACTCTGAAATTTGTTGTAATCATATGCCAGCCCACCAAAACAACTCATCTGCATGAAAGCACCCATAAAGATTGATGTGTAGCAAGAACAGTGCTAAATGCAGCTCTAATTGGATATGCTCAAAGCATATCTAATTGGATATAGCTCTAAGATATGAACAGATACTACAGGTGCACCTGCCAGATATTGTCAGGTATCATTGGATTTTTTGGAACATGGCAGCATTAGAAATTACACCTTAGTTAATGTAATTTTGCTATACAAATATATTTAGACTAGGTCACAGTTTCTTCCAGATTTTTATGAAAACTTCTGTGATCAGTAGGGCTCAAAACTCCAAACCTCAGCGTCAGCCTCAAGTATGGAATGTGATGAGGCAGCACAAGTCACTGCAAGCTTGAGAGTGAAGTGTCTAGGGAAATGGAGGCAGTGGGTAATTTGACTCACTGCATTGCTGAGACTCTAAACTTACAAGCAACCTTTCTTAAAACTGGTATTTTTGACCTCTTTTAAGAACTTTGACTTGCTGCAGAGTCCACTGAGTACCACTGGTAGGCAGGAGCCTTCACAGGGCAGAGGAAAAGTCACTTGGGAATTTGCAGCCTCAGAAATGCTGGCTGCTCCCCCAGAGCCTGTAGAGAAGCTAAGTGGTTTCACCTCTTCTGGCTCAATGAGCTTGAACTCCATCCCTCTACCAGTCCAGGCAATGAAGTGGGAGTTGGTCGGATCATCCAATAAAGCCACAAGAAATTGCCAGAGCTGGAGAGATCCCCGTCTCTGGTAGGGAGGTCCTTCCCGGTACCCTCCGGCTTCCTGTTTGATGTCTCCTGCTGAGAAGAACAAACAAGGTGTTTCTAAGGGTAACAGTGCACAAACAGTTGCAGAAAAAAAACACATCTCACAAATGTTTACCTGGAATATTTCAGTTCACATAAAACAGAGTGGCTAGTTCACCAGCAGCTCTTCCAAGAGGAGCTCTGGTGAACCTCACAATTAAGCTACTTATGCTAGATGGCCTTTTTGCTGTTAAAAAAGGTCAAGAAAGAGGATACCAAAAAGTCAGGTATGAACCACAGCTAACACACCTGCAAGAACACAGTGTAATGAACTATGGAGACAGTGATCAAGTGGCTAGCAAAGATGCTAGGTAACCCTATCTTACACCCAAACTGCAGGCCATTCTTTCTCCAACCTTCAAATTTTTCTGGAACAACACAGACATCATCAGTAAAGGACCTCATCTGCTTGTCATAGCTGCAGCCTGAAAGAGAAAGCCACATAGGCAGTCACAGACAAGGACAGGGTGGTGCCAGAGGGCAATGCAATACAGGGAAAATAAGAGAATCACTGAGTTTCTTACCCAATGTATCTTCTGTAGTTGAATGGCTTGGATAACTCTCAGCATTTATGTACATGGAAGGACAGCCAGGAACATCTACAGAACAATTAACAAATGCGTAGCTTTATGTATCAGCCATCCCACCACAACTTCATCATGCAGATGCCAGATATTGTCAGGTATCATTGGATTTTTTGGAACATGGCAGCATTAGAAATTACACCTTAGTTAATGTAATTTTGCTATACAAATATATTTAGACTAGGTCACAGTTTCTTCCAGATTTTTATGAAAACTTCTGTGATCAGTAGGGCTCAAAACTCCAAACCTCAGCGTCAGCCTCAAGTATGGAATGTGATGAGGCAGCACAAGTCACTGCAAGCTTGAGAGTGAAGTGTCTAGGGAAATGGAGGCAGTGGGTAATTTGACTCACTGCATTGCTGAGACTCTAAACTTACAAGCAACCTTTCTTAAAACTGGTATTTTTGACCTCTTTTAAGAACTTTGACTTGCTGCAGAGTCCACTGAGTACCACTGGTAGGCAGGAGCCTTCACAGGGCAGAGGAAAAGTCACTTGGGAATTTGCAGCCTCAGAAATGCTGGCTGCTCCCCCAGAGCCTGTAGAGAAGCTAAGTGGTTTCACCTCTTCTGGCTCAATGAGCTTGAACTCCATCCCTCTACCAGTCCAGGCAATGAAGTGGGAGTTGGTCGGATCATCCAATAAAGCCACAAGAAATTGCCAGAGCTGGAGAGATCCCCGTCTCTGGTAGGGAGGTCCTTCCCGGTACCCTCCGGCTTCCTGTTTGATGTCTCCTGCTGAGAAGAACAAACAAGGTGTTTCTAAGGGTAACAGTGCACAAACAGTTGCAGAAAAAAAACACATCTCACAAATGTTTACCTGGAATATTTCAGTTCACATAAAACAGAGTGGCTAGTTCACCAGCAGCTCTTCCAAGAGGAGCTCTGGTGAACCTCACAATTAAGCTACTTATGCTAGATGGCCTTTTTGCTGTTAAAAAAGGTCAAGAAAGAGGATACCAAAAAGTCAGGTATGAACCACAGCTAACACACCTGCAAGAACACAGTGTAATGAACTATGGAGACAGTGATCAAGTGGCTAGCAAAGATGCTAGGTAACCCTATCTTACACCCAAACTGCAGGCCATTCTTTCTCCAACCTTCAAATTTTTCTGGAACAACACAGACATCATCAGTAAAGGACCTCATCTGCTTGTCATAGCTGCAGCCTGAAAGAGAAAGCCACATAGGCAGTCACAGACAAGGACAGGGTGGTGCCAGAGGGCAATGCAATACAGGGAAAATAAGAGAATCACTGAGTTTCTTACCCAATGTATCTTCTGTAGTTGAATGGCTTGGATAACTCTCAGCATTTATGTACATGGAAGGACAGCCAGGAACATCTACAGAACAATTAACAAATGCGTAGCTTTATGTATCAGCCATCCCACCACAACTTCATCATGCAGATGGAGCACAAGTCTTATAAGGAGTGGCTGAGGGAACGGGGATTTGTTTTCACATCATAGGAGCACTATGATGGTGTTAATGGAGAGCAGCAGCATTTGAACGTTTACTACAGCCAGTGTCTCACAAATGTCTTTTCATATGCGTTAAGTCTCTCCAGCTTTTTCACATCGTGATAGGGCATTCTCACTAACAGTGAGAAAACAGTGAGTCTGGGCACTGCAATTTGTATCTTCTGTATCTTGCATTTTCTGAATCAAACTTATTTTCCATCCGCAGCTGAAATGGAAACTGTAACTGGGAGCTTTGGAAAGATTTACTGTACATTTCCCTCATACTCCTGCGTATAGCCATTGCTTTCTCTCAACATTTTGCTGATGCTAAGGGCAGAAGGGGACTCTGAGCTGACAGACTGTGTATTATTACAATTGTAAAGCATTCTTCTGGGCTTGCACATTTTCTTTCCCTGTCTGGACAGAAGAACCCAGTGGAAGTGTAATATCAGCATAGTCACAGTGGTGGATTCTATACCCTCATAGGAGCTTTTCATCTATTTCTGCTAAAGGAAACAATTCAAAATGTCCATTAAAATGCCATGAAACAAGAAGTAACATTCCCTCTGGAAGAGGGTATTGTGATGTCAGGGTAGCAAGCCTTTGGACAGATCAGCTGAAAAAATAACATTTATCCCTTGTGGAAAAATAAGAGCATTACCTGATTGATCTGGTACCTAGAAAGCTACTTTTGGAATCATAAACTTTTTTCTCTTGTGATCCTCTGAAATCTCTGCTGTCTCCTCTGTGTGCCCTGTTTCTATAGGAAGCAGAAGGTGGAGGTTGACACTACAAGAGGCACAGAGCAGCACTTCTGCACGTGGCTGAGTGCTCTGTGCTTATGCCTGAGCTTGGAATTGGGCAGTTTATTGTTAGCCACTTACATCTCTTCAGACTGTTTTAATTTTAGACTTTTAGATCTGTTAGTCAGAACAGAGCTGGTTTATCTTCTGTGGTAAGCTCCAAAGTGGAGCATCAGGTCTCTCTGTGACCTGCTGCAGCCAATTTCCAGTGGGTGTCAGCTGCTGGTGAGAGACCTCAGCAGCGAGAGCTGACACCCACCAGCGGGGCTGGGTGAGCTGTGTCTTTGCCTCCGTTTTGTGAATGAAATTCTTCTGCCTCCAGTCAGGGAAAAGGCACAGGGCCAGAGAGCATCAAGAGCTGCAGCTCAGGGCTGTGCAGTGCAATCCCTACACCCAGAGCAGCTTTCTTCTGCCAGTACTTGCAGGTCCCCTCCTGTTGCAGAGATCCAAGGCAGTTTTTCTGCATGAGCACCAACATATTTGACTCCTTCCTTTCTGCTGTCATTTACAGAATGTTTTCGGTATAATTTCTCCAAAGCTGACCTCACTTCTTTCCCTTTCTACAACCTACCAGCTCACACATCTACCTGAAGACAAAAGCTCCCTGTGAAAGTGGGAATGCCTTTTTCTCTATTTCTGATGGTGTGAGCCGGCTAATTATGAATTTTGAGAGTCTCCCCAGTGGCTACTTATTCCCTTGGAAAAAAATGCATGCCTTTAATCTAATGGCTTTATCATCACCTGCTAGCTCCTATAGCTTATCAAACCTTTCCACTGTATACCAGAAAGTCCTTCTCAGAACACAGTGTAGGAAGTGAATGTCCCAGCCTTCTCTTGGATGCAGTTTCAGTGGACGGTCTGGCCCAAGCCAGACAGAACTGTTCACATTTCTTGCTCCACGGACAGTTTCCCAGACCACACGCACTCCTGAAGATGAACCAGTACTGTTTCAAAGCCCAAAGACCACCAGTGTTCACCCAGGAGGTTGGTCACCCCCACTGATGCCCCACTGCAGTCAGGAATAGCTAGTTCTGCCTACCTGAGTCGTAGACGTAGTCCACCTGCTCCTGCTTGACAACCACAGCTGCTGGGTACTGATGGCTGCTGCCTGCCCGGTTCGCTTGCTCGTACCTTGGGTCGTGGTACTCCTGTTTGAAGCCCTGGTGAGGGTACTGGAGGCAGGGCTCAGACATCTGGCACTGGTGGGCAACGGGATCTTCCTGAGCCATGCCCTGGGAGGAGGGGAAGGAACGGCACATCTCCACAGGTGGCTGGTACGCAGAGCTGAAAGAAAGGAGAGGACATGGGATGGCTCCTTTCTTGGCCCTCTGATCCCAGCCCGGATGCAGGGCAGGCTGAGAGACAGAAAATTCCTCGGCCTCAGCCTGTTACTGGGGCTGTAGGAGCTGCACACAAAGCTGGGGAAAGGAAGGGACCCCAAAGAAAGATGTTTCTGAGGGCAGCTGCAGGGCCCATCATCCACAGAATCTGGTGGGCTTAAGGTTAGAGACTTCTTCAAAACCTAGGCAGCAGTGGTGGGTCCCGTGTACTTCAGGGGGATCCTGTGATTGCTGAAAACTGAGCACTTTAATCTGGATGCTGCAGCCCCTCCTCCCTGAGTCTCCAAGGAGGGCAATCCTTCTTGCCAATGGCTGCCTGCTCCTGGCAATAACTCACCTGTTTTCCTTGAGGTATCCACAGCTGGATGTGGGGTGGGGTGGCCCCACAAGGGTCGGGAAGCTCCTGTCCTGTCTAGGGAACTGTTGGAGCGGTGACTGTATCGGGGTTCCTGGGTTGGGGGACTTGATTCCAACTTGTCTGGGTTGATCATAGGCACTGGGACAGTCAAACAGATACGGGAGCATTACAGTTCTCCAAGAAGGACTTGTGGCAGCACCTGGGGAGAAGGTGTCACAGGCAGACACGCTGTCCCTCTGTGCAGCCACCTAAGCCAGAAAACTCCCAGCATAAACTCCTTCCTTTCTGATTATTAGTTGCCCTCGTGCACAAGAGCAATAACCCTTCAAGCAGAAAACTGAGGAAGGTGTCTGCACTGAAGAAGCCGTACTATAACTCGGGCAAGTAGCTGGGGCTGTGGGCAACAGCATCAGGAATCTCCTTGGGGGACAGATTTTGGAAAGCAATGGAGAGGGAGGCACGTGACAGATGCCAAGACTGCTCTTAGCATCAGGACAGTGAGGAATAGCACTAGGGAGAAGAAAAAAGAGGCAAACCCAGATCTACTCTGCACAGGCCTGAGCTGACCCACCGGTTAATTTGTGTTGCAGCCCATGTGTAGCCCTTACCCAGCAGACAGACCAGGTTGTTCTCATAACACTTCACTATTAGATAATGCAGGAGCACTTGATTTCATAACGTGATTCCTGTCCCTCCCCTGTGGAAGCTGCTTTACCTGGCGTAAAGGCACTGCTCGCCATTGCGGTACTGGAATGGCTGCTTGTGGTCGCAGGACAGCGTGGGGTCTGAGGAGGGACTCTGCGGCTCCTTTTTAATCTTAGCAGGACTGTGAAAAGCTACTGAGGGAGAGAAATGAAAGATCAAGTTGGCACTTTTCTTGGTTATGGAGAGATATTTTTATCAGCCAGTAAAAAGTCAGTTGAGATGCCACCACCTCGCCCTTGGTCGGATGGCTCGGAGAGAAACAAAATACCAATATGCAAAACTGTTCACTAGACTGTTCTGAGCTCTGCCCTTGATTTAGTAAAGTCTGTTTAATACATCAACCTTAAAAGACCAAATCTAAGGTAGTGTTAACATGCTCCATGATAATGCAGAGCACTTTGAAAAGGATTTAGAGTGGGTATTTCCTAACCTGTCCAGGGCTGGGCCAGACATTTTCTGTTAGTTCATAAGGGGGCACACACACATAATCTATTTTTCATAACGTAAAAGCAAAGTTTTGATTTGGATCACACAAAATACTTTCATGGACATAAGTGGCAAGCGTGTCTTGAGAGTAGCATTACCATGTGGCACTGCATTGAATTACAATGCACTAATATTGAACACATTGAACATTTCCTGGTAGTATCGTTGGTCCTGTAGGACAATAATTGTAAAGTTTTCATAGACATAGCTACAAAAGCTGAAGGTTTTCTGTGGGGAAAATACTATTATATGTATTGCATACTATTACAGGCTGACACCATGCTAACTTGCTCACAAACACATTACACAAGTAGTGCTTTAAGAAACACCTAACCAGTTCAGATAGCGAAAACCACTTTTCCAAAGGAATTGCATCAGTGTTACAGCACAGTTCAAAACAGAAGTCTGACTTCTAAGTCCTTGCATTCACTATAATACACCTCAAAGTTTGAAGAGCAGCTTGCAGTTCTCTCAGTAGCCTCCCTTTGAAGAATCTAATTTCATTAATTGTATCAGGTTTATACTTCAGCACTCAGGAAAAAGGCCAGGCCCTTCTACAGGATACTGAGATTCCTGGGCTGGAGGCTGCCACACTCAGCAGTTGCCCTTTTCATCTCCAAATGCAGTTTTCCCTTTGATGGATCTCTTCTGTGTTAAAAGCCCAACATGCCTGAATGTGGGACTGGGAGAATCTGGTACCTGCTGTGTTCCTCCAAAACACAGTCCAGAAAAAAAGCGAAAAGGTTCCTTTTCATTTTCAGTGCACTGCTCTGTGGTCATAGCTTGATGCAGATGAGGAGGGATATTTCTGGGCTGGTTAGGATTTCATGAATAACAAGTGTGGGTTGAAGTTTACCGCACAAGGAAGTAGGATGTGTGTATTGTTACTTCTTGTGCTTAATTAAATCCAGCAGGGAGCAAAACTTCCTTCACTAGTTCCTGAGAAAAGTTTATCCTGGCTGAAGGACACAGTAAGCATCTTCTGCCTTTGCCTCTGGGCTCTGCTGCTGCTGTTAGGTCACTATTTAGGAAGGAAAGAAAAGTAACCCGAGAAAGGTACCTAGGTGTAGCCTTGTTTTTCAAACAATGGAAATATCTGCCCTGCAAATCAAAACTGTAAGCTTGCTCCAGTCCTCCTCAGCTTACTCCCACCTCTTTGAGCTGACACAACGCTGCTTACAAAGCCTGGGATGTTCAGAGCTGTGATTGCAGTTTTAAGGATGGAAAGTAACCTCCTCATCTGTTAATACTTCATTTTTTTGCTGACTGACTTTATTTTGGGACTGACCTGAACTGTATGTGCACCAGCTGTCCTCAAGCCATTCTCCTTCACATAAAGCTCTAATTGTCCCTTCAGAAGTGCTGCAGCAAGCAGCTGTCAGAAGGGCTGCTGCAGTCTCTCTTAGCACAGGATATTAAGGCCACTTTCTATTGTGACCATCCCTAAACAAAATTAATTTTCTCAGCCAGAGGGGAAAAAACCCAACCAAACCCAAACCTGACTCCTTTTCCCTGCCTTCAGTTTCAGCCTATAGGAGAAAAGCCCATCTTTACGTCATGCCAGCACCCCAAGGGACTCAAACTGCCTGACAGAATCAATATAAATAAATGAATCCATAAAATACCAGAGCATTATTTTGTTTCTGGCTCCTAGTCCTTCTCAGGGACAAATGGCTCAGCTAATGCTGGGGCTGCCTGTTCACAAACAGCTCTTGGCACCATCCAAGCTGATGGCAGGTGTGAGTGTGCTGACCTGGTGGGGCTGCCCCTCACCAGGGTGCATCCAGTATCACAAGCGTGACACTACTGCATCCGTGCAAACAGCCCAGGCCCAGGGAAGGGCTGAAAGAGAAAAGGGTCTTTCTATGTTTGGGGCATCCATTTTCCTTCTGTCTGCAGCACTTCTTCACAATGTGTAGAGTAAACATCATCTAAAAGTACTGATGTGTCAGCTGAGTCTCCAGGGAAAAAAAAAAAAGTAATAAATTGCTCTGTCCAGTACACTGAACTCCAGTGAAGTCTCAAGAAGCTAGATGTACTAGGAGCAGCCAGTTCTTTGCAGCCCCTAGTAGGTGGAACAGGCTCTCTCATTGCAACTGGCTCATTCATTCATTCAAAGTGAAGCATTGGACCAGCCCTCTCCTCAGTTCTAGGTCAAAAAGAGGAATAAAACAAGATATACGACTCGGAGAACAAGCCCAGCTGTGCTGCAGGGGTGAGTCCAGCAGAAGGAAGTAGACAAGAACCACCAGTAAAAGTGCTTCATTTTTGTTTTCATGGAGAAAAGTGCCCAGGGCAGAGAGGGGTATCAGCATAGGAAGGGCACCAAAGTTGACTGCACCAGCTTTAAGTGGACATCTGTACTCTCAGTTAGCTGCCAGGCAATTATATACCCAGGGAACCGTGAGGCATCTTCTTGTAGCATCAACATACTTGGCAAAAGTCAGGCTCCAGGTTCCTGCAGCTGCTTGCAACACAGAGCTATTCAGAACAGTCTGTCTTCACTTCAGGTGTGTAGTCTTAGCTCAGCATCAGCTTCCAAAGGAAACGGTGGCATGCTGTGAGGTCTGGCTGAAGCAGGCCCGGTGTGGAAAAAGCAGAGCTGCGTGGCCATTGAGTGGAAGGTTCCTGTACGTACACTTGTACCTGTGCAACGTTCAGCTCCTTTGGAAGGTGAAGTGCTTTGACCAGTTGTACGGCCTGTACACCCCTGTGTGAACACACACAATCTCTGTCCAGTGGACAGTTCCTAAGAACGGAGAGCAAACAGGCTAGGGAGCACAATTCCTCAGGGATATTGTACCCTTGTGCTATGCCAGGCAGCAGACAAGCCCATCTGGCAGCAGATGCTCAGCCAGAGACCACGTAGGTGAGTGGAGCCCCCAAAAAAACCACCTGCAGGAGACACAGCACCAATAATTGCACGTACAGGCTAATTTCTTTTGCTTTGGGAGGAGTAATAGCACAATTTTACTTTTGATTGTCACAGTCATGCATTTTCTCAGCTGTTCAGGGGTGCCTAATTATTCACAGGTACACCTACTAAAATACACATCTGTTGAAATCACTCTGATCATTTCAGATGAGATCACATCTGAAATCAATCACATAAGGGACTGTGGTAGTTACCACCTCACAAAGATACTTTTGTATTGTCCAGATGTAGACAGTCAACCTGTTTTTTTGTCACCATCACAATGCAGAAATGAGTACCTTAGCCTCAATATGTGTTGCATTTAAATATTTGTTTGGTTTAAGTGTATCCTGCCCTTCTCCCCCGGGATGTGCCGTCGCCCCCGTGCTACTTACAGTTTTCTGAATGAAAGTCAGGCACAAATTGCTCATCACTGTCTGGAACCTGAGCTGCAAGGGGAGAAAAGGAAGGCAGGAGGAGGAGAGAGAGGGGAGATTTAGATTTGGCACTTCGTATGGTATAATTAACAGTAAGGCAGAAATAAGTCTATGCTGGAAAGAGCTGAGCTTTGTGCTCGGATGCACTTTAGTGACTAAGGATAGTTTCCCTCTGGGATTAATCATTACAATTCTTCTGCCTGCAGATTTACCCCTTAACAGCCTGCCAGTTTGCTTCTTCCTTACCTTGGAAATAAGAACAGCAGCAAGTTTATTACCTCAGGGTTCACAGTTTTCATTAGAAACATAACATGCAAGGATTTTTAAGCATTTAGCATAGGAAAAGCAACTAATAAATTTGGAAAGGCTATGCCAAAGTGATGAGTAGAACAGGAAACAGCTATGCCTTCATATACAATCTTTTCAGTAGCTCCAGCAGCAGTGAATGGCTTGGCATTAGTGGAATAGGCTACAACTTGTAAATCAGCAGAAAGAGAACATATCAGAAGAAAAAAAAAAATTATCTGGTAGCAGGAGAGGGAAATTATTAATAGTTTCTTGCGTGTATGTGCGATTTCACAAATGGGAAACGTAAGAGGAAGTGCTGGTGTAGTCACAGAGAACCTGACAGCAAACAGCTGTTCTTTCCCCACAAATCAGTGCAGTAAAGCTTATTTCTAGGCACCTGCCCTGCAGACAGCACTGTTAGTACAGCTCCAGTATAACAGCAAGGTCTAAGATATTTGAATTTTTCCAAGGTTGTCTAAAAAAAGCCATCTGAAAGTCTGCAGAGGCCTCATTTGCCGTGGAACAGCCTACCTCACTGGAACAAGTTATTGCTGAACGTGGCAAGCATTGAAATAGTTAACAACATTAGCTTCTTAGTATTAAGAAGCTTCAGGCTTAATAGCTCCGTTAAAAAAACTGGTGAGGCTCTTGTGTGTTTGTCTGCTGACTTGAAGAGTCAGCACACTTTATAAGTTGAGCTTCTTCATGACTCAGGGGTTCATATTTATTCTGGCGAAAGCAGCAGTTGCAAGAAGAGAATTTAAAATTTTAATATTCAATATCTACTTCATATAGTTGCAATACAGGTAGACATTTTCTTGTTCTCCCCAAATCAGCATCTATACTTAAAACAACTGGGATAGTTGTTTTAAGCAGACATTTAAAGCCCAGCCCCAGGTTTATTTTAGTCACTCAGACTGCATGCATCAACCTCGCCATCTCCCACACCTTTCCAAGATCTGGAGCACCAAACCTAAGCCTTTCTGACCAAGGATACACATTTTACACATCATTTACTAATCATGTATAATAGCAGATTAGCTCTTCCTACACAGTGCTCTGAGACCACGTGCGACCTTCCCTTCACCCCAGGAGACTTATGAATTCATTCCACAAACACTTTGCTATATATTGTAAAAGATTCTATGCAAAGTCTTTAGAATAGAGACCTAGAAATATTAGAAAGCCCATAACTGAAAGTCCACCAGAAATCAATTCTGCGACAAATTTATCTTATTGGCAGCTTAAGGTTTTTGAAGATTTAAGAGAAACCTGTCTCAAGTGTGTGTGCATGTTTAGCAGATCTATTAGATAACCCACAATTAATAGCTGTTTTTCACTACAGCAAATTCACTATACTGTTTAAAACTATTTTCACTTGGAATTAACAGGACTCCTTAGGATTTGAAATTTTCTCTTCCTTGAGGCCAAAAGGCAAAACAATTTAGACACCAAACTGAAACAGTATGTAAATTCCAGGAAGGTCCCTTCAAAGAATTAACTTAAAAAGAGAAATAATAATAATAATAATAATAAAGTTGAGAAGGACTTTATTCCCCAAATTAAAAGAATAGCTTATTGTTTGTTTAAGAAAATACCGACGTTCTGGCAAGCCACGAAGATAAGTGAGCAATTAGCATAAAATTCAACCAGTTACAAGTAGCCTGAAACAGAAATTGTAACCGGGAAAGCGGGCCGGTTGCCAAGTCCCATTCATAAGCAAATACCCGGTACAATAGTGTGATTCATGCGGCTTCGTTTACACAAGCCAGAGGTTGGCGAGTCTGAAAAAAAAACCTGCTTAGTGTTCTGGAGCTGGGCAAACACAGCAAAGGAGCAGGACAACCCTCCAAAAGACAAACAACCGAAAGAGGAATAAAACAAAACAGAGTGAAGGGGAAGGGGTTTACCTTCTGTCAGCCAAGTCTCCTGGAAGTGGCTCAAGTCCTGGAAGAGTTCTGCGTGAAAAGGGAGAGGTTTCGTCAATGGAGAGCCGGGGAGGGGGGACACCGGGACGCTCCAGGGATGGAGATGCCGGGCGGAAGGAGGAGGTGGGGGTGGAAGCGCAGGGGGAGGACTCGGTCCCTGCCCAAAAAGCCTTCCCGTCCCCGGCCCTCCCTCCACCCCGGGCCCCCGCTACCTTCCGAATCCCGCGCCGGCGGCAGCCCTGGCTCCCCGGGTCTCTTCCTAGCGCCCATCGGAGCTCCGCCACCCGGAGCCCGGCCCGGAGGCTGCTACGGAAAGAGCATATGGGCGCACGGTCACTAACCGGGGCGGTCCCCGACCGGAGCGGTCCTTAACCGGAGCGGTCCCCGGTCCGGAGCACCCCCCCCCCCCGCCCGGCGGAGCCGCCGCTCACCTGCGGGAAAGTGAACGGCACCTGCTGGTCCAGGTACCCCTTCATCCTGCCGCCCGGGCGCTGCCTCCGCGGCCGCGGGGCCGACGCCTCTCGGCGGGCACCTGCGGAA